CGCTGGCAAGCTGACGGAGGTGCGCAAGACTGCAGTCCACCCTCCGTCCCATAAGCTTGAGGAATCCAACAAGGTTTGGGGTTTCAGGGTTTCGGGGTTTGGGTTCAGGGGCTTTCGGATTTCAGAGTTTGAGTTTATAGGTTTTGGGATGTGTTGGGTTTTTGCAGGTAAGGCTGAAGAGTTTCTTAGTTGACCTGGGGACCCAAACAACCCCAACAAACACAGCAGTCGTTCCTCAACAACCTTTGCTCACACCTGAGGGTCCTATTTTGCTCATACCTGAGGGTCCTATTTTGGGAACCAAGGTTGTTGGAACAGCGACTTCCCATGTAAGTTTTATAAGCCCAACACGCAAAACCCCAAACACCATCAAAATCCCTCAAAACGGTTCAGCCCTCAAGACCCTCAACCCTGAAGACCCAAGCCTTGTGCCTTAACCTCAACTGCTCAACCCTCAACGGCCTTTTAGGGTTTAAGCTGCAGGGTTTTGGGAACCCATAACCGCCGTAACCCTATCAATGAACCCTAAACCCTAAACACTATGCAAAGACCCTTAATTCTTAACGAGGCCTGGCAACAGCTACGCTCCGCCTACTTCGAGGTCTGCGTGGAAGCGGGCCAAAGCCCGGAACGAGTGCCCGGCGGCCTACATGGGTTTACAGATTGAAAAGGGTTGCAACGTGGGAAGTCGGGGAGTTTGGGGGGGTCGAGGTTTTGGGGAGGCTCAGGGTTTAAAGGATGGTTGTGGGTGTAGAGGATTGAGGGCAAGCTCGGGGGTTCCCTGTTGTTGGGAGGCTGTGTGCCAAAAGGTGCCATCGGACGATCAAGATATCCTAGGAAGGGGCCCCAACCGAAAAGAACTGCCCAAGCGCTCGCATCTTGTAATTATTTTGCGATAGTGGGTTCAAGGTAATCTCAAGATTCGTTTTGGATCGGCGGTTTGTTATTTGAGCACTGCGGGCATTCCCCACATGGGACCAGGTCAGCGAAGCTCACGCGCTGGGAGGCGATGGCCGGACACCTCCGTAATCTGAGGGTGCGTTGGGTTCAGGGTTTCAGGAGAATTCAGGGTTCAGGGGACTGAGGGTCCTTGTTAAAACATCCTTAAGGGAGGTGTGTTCCACGGGGGGGTATGTAACCCAAGGTTCCTTAACTCCCCCGAAGTTTCCCTAGGTAGCCCCCCTCCCTTAAGGACCCGATAACTTTGGTAGCTCTCTCAGAGCAAGTTGGATAGTGGCAGTGGCTTTCTGGCCTGGCATGGATTGCTTCGAGCGTTTGGCCCCCTAGCAAGAATTGGGGACACCTCCCGGGTGATGGTCTTCCCGCCTTATATTATCCCCTTCGGGAATCCGTCATTTTGGCGCAAGCCTTTTGTTCCCACACCATAGACTGGCATCCCTGCCACCGCTTATGATAATTATGATAACTTCCATCGATTATTTGTAGGATCGCGTTCTAGTCACTAGAGTCTGCCAAAAACAGCATGGCGCGTGATGTGGTGGTGGCGTTTTGGCGTGGACCGGCTTCTGACTTTAGTATCAGGAGCTTCATCTACAACTTGGAGCTCACGAGTTTTTTGAGCCAAAACAAAATGGGGGTTTCCGAAATTAGGGTACCTTGCAAGGACAGGTTGTCGTTCAACTTTTTTCTTTGCAGTTTGTGTTGCCGCGCAGCTCGACCGCGTGATCGGGTTAAGTTTGGCAGCTTTGGGTGTCTCATGAAAGTGGGCATGACTTGTGTGTGTGTGTGTGTGTGTTTTTTGGCTCAAGGCTTTTAGCTTTGTGGCCTTCTGGGTTTCTCGGCTCTTGTTTTGTTTTGTGGGGTGGGGAGGGTTGGCTTGGATTGGTTTGGCTCCGTGACGCGTGGGTGAGATCACGCTTGTTTCCTACGATAGTCTAGAGGAAAGAGGCATTCTTATTCCTAAAGCGTGGAGGAAGTCATACTCGAGAATATCCTCGGGCAATACAGGCTTTCGCATGCAAGTACAGATGAAGTGGAGGTGTTCTCTTTGATGACGGATTGAGGCAGCGGAGGTTAAGGTATTCAAGTTTCAAATATTGAAGGAGCAAAAAGGGAAATTCTTGCCAAAAAAACTCTTGCCAAACATGGAGTGATTGACATGGGGCGCGGCGTGTTCCAACATACATCAAAAAAGCTCCCCAAATCTCCACCATGCAAGCTAGGGGACATGTGTCTTTTTTCGAGCGTTCACTTCATGAGCTGAACGGGCGCTGCCCGATGGTGCTTCGGCGGCCAGTAGAGAGGCACGGAGGCTCGCTTGGCCTGCGTTGCAAGCGCTTCAGCCCGCTGCTGCCTGGCACCATCAAGGGGTTGACCAAGGTTACCGCGAACGCCGGAGTGCAGAAGGGACTACAAGATGCTGAGCCTCCGGCCACTACTACGGCTGGGAGGTATTGGCATCAGTCTGAAAATGTAGGATCCGGCTGCCTCTCACCCTTAATCATCTCTGGCCAGCATCCACCTGCTGATCCTTCTTCTATTCCGGATAACCCGTGCAGCCGCGCTGGATTCCATGGACGGGAGCATCGACTTGCTTTTGGGTGTGGGTTGCCAGCCGCAAGACCTTGAAATGGAGCTTCCTTTGTTGGCCCGTGCTCATTTCAGATTTTCAGAACGGCTCCTATGGTGCACATGGGGGGATGGCGTGAGCCCCCGCCCCAGCCTTTAGTGGTTGGATGCCCGCTTTGTTTCAGAAGCCATTGGATGCCCGCATTGTTTCAGAAGCCAAATTTAAATGCCTAGCAAAGTCTTCCTGTCGCAAGTCTTGTCCACAGTTTACATATGTCGATGCAAGCCGGCCTGGCTCGAAGAGTGGAGCAGGAATAACAAGACCGACGTTTAAAACCACAATCATGCCAGCCTTCAAGACCCTAAGCTGCATGGCCCTGAGCCGAAAAGCCCCTAGTCCCTCATTCCTAACCGTAACTATAACTTAAGAGCCTCAAAAAGTTCCCCTGCTGGAGAGGCCGCGCTCGCCCGGAAGCGAGGGCATCGCCATCTGCGGCCCGACTGTAAATCTAGGACCTCCTATACTTGATTGCATTGGGCATTTCTTCCCCTTTACCGGGTAAGAAGAAATCGCAGGGTTAATGTGGACAGAAAAAGGTTCCCGACATAAGCTACGAGAATCTCTTGGCAAGGGGCCGAGGTTGATTTCGAGTTTGGGGTTTAAGAAGTTTGCTTCTTCTTCCAGCAGGGCAGAGTGGGTGGGGCTAGGGTTCAGGGTGAAGGGCTTGTAGAGGCTTAGGGGATATGGGTGTAGGGCTTTTGGCTGTTAGGTTGCGGCTCGGTGCGTATCAGACAGCAAGATCAACACATGTTAGCATCCTTGTCGCTACAGGTATCCAGCTTGCAGCTCTACTTGGTTACCTTGAAGCCGCATTCTAAACTTCTAAACTGTAGGTCATCAAGGAATACAAAGACTAGTGAAGCTTAGAGTTTAGAGCAGCCTGGAGCAGCTAAGGGAGCTATGCGAGATGCGAGTTCAGGACTTCGTTTTCGAGCCACGCGCTGTGCTGCTACCATCGCTGCACGACTCGTAACGTTTTCTTCACTCATGCTTCCACATCTACACTCCCGTTTGGTATTGCTGCAAGGACGCCATCTCCAGAGATGGAGGCGATGTGGGAGTGGCAGTTTGGAGAGTGCCACCAGTGCCACCTGCATCTCTGGAACCGTCTTCGGCCAGCTTTGCCAGAAAAGGCTCCAGCTCCAGCACCGGCTTGCTCAGTGTCAGCAGAGTTTCACCACCTGAGGCATGCAGTGTGACTTCCGACAAGTCACCACTGTGCAAAGGTGCGTGCCGGAGGAAAGAAGCAAAGCTTAGGCCTTGCTTCATCGAACTGGAGTTTGCAGCCAACAACACTTCAAAGCTTGAATCGGATTCCTTGTCCAGCTCCCTTCAGCCCTGAAGAGCTCAAAGAGGTTAAAGCTGTTCAGGGCTTTTTTGGATCCTTGGGCTGCAAATCGCCAGGCTGAGCAAGGGTGGGCATGCTCGGAGAAGACCGAGGCATGTCACAATATGCTAGGTAGCAATGAGCGGTAGCCATGAGTGAGCTACAACACCGGTCCTGAAACTATAGAAAAGGGCGAAGGACGCCCCTGCATCCGGATTTGCATCAGCAGATGCAATGCTGGAGATGTGACACCACTCACGGCAAGAAACTCTATGAAGCTGTTGCTCCCAGCACTTGCAAACCTTCTCCGGATCACATGTTGTCCCGTAGGAAAAAGCTGTGCGTGCGTTGGTACGCAGCTTTGCAGTCGACTAGGACACTTCTGACTCGCAGTCTCGATAGCTCACCCAAAAAGCGAGTCCTTCCTCATCCGCGTTCCTAGAAGGGTGTATCGCTACTGAAACTACACGGGCGAGCGGTTTGGGGTATGCTTTTGGTTATGTTTAGGTCTGGTTTTGGGACCCAGGGTTGGTTAGCATGCTGAGAGATATCTCGGATGTCCCAGACGCTTCCTCAGGCTTCCGCCACGTTTTCTAGCGAATGGTGTTCGTTGCTGAGGTTTCTCAGGCGTTTTTGCTGTCCACAACCCCAGAGCCTTCAACCCAGTAACCTCAAGTGTCACTGTCGCCCAAACCCCTACACATCCCTATGGAATGCACACCCCAAACCCCAGACCCTTAACCCCCAAAACCCAAGACTTCAATTCTCTCAAAACCATGCACGCTCCAGCCGACCTCCAAAGCCCCACATGTTCTAAGCCTCCCTCAAACCCCCAAACCCAATTAAAACAACCCTGAACCACACCCTACAATCACCTGCTTTAAAGTCGTGCATTTGCTCGTTTGCAGAAGGAGATGGAAGAGCACATCTCAGGCAAAGCTCCCAGCCCCAAACCTCTGTGCAAACCCTGGACCCCCAACCCGAATCCCGAAGCCCTAACGAAACTCCAAACTCCAAACCCCCAAGCCCTAAACCCTAGAATTATGTACTAAGCCCCCACACCCCAGCTAGATAAATCTGCAGGCGCGACGGCGAGTGCGGCTGGAAAACCTCCATGAAGAGGTCCGGGCCGAGGCACGAAACTTTGGGTTCAGGGAGATTGGGGGTTTGGGGGCTCCAGGGTTTAGGGGCGTGGGGCTTGCGATTGAACAGGGTGGGTTGAAGGATGAAGGCTTCAGAGGGGGTTAGGGCCATAGAGACCCCCGCCCGAAACCCTGAACCTTATGAACCTTAAACTGGGCGCCTTCGAGGCCCAAATAGTATTATTTCCTTATAATTTATTATAATGGCACATATATTATAACAACATTTAAGTTCTACTATAAATACACCCCCCCCCCCCCCCCCCCCCAAAAAAACAAAATACTCCTCCAATTATTAAGGCCCCTATATCACCACCGGTCTCAGGCTTCAGCATTTATGCGGCAGCAGCCCTTTGGCGTGGTCTGGAGCCCGGAAGTGCTCGGAGCTTTTCCTGTAGAACCCTTAACCCTAAGCCCGAAACCCTTTTCTTCTGTTTGGAGTTTCAATGCTGAGTTGGTAGATTGGTAGGCCCCGTTGGGCCCCCCTTGAAAAAGCATGAAGCAGAACCATAGCTTCATGGGTGTGTGTATATATACATATATGTATTCGTACCACGTGCGTTTTACATAAAAAACATATACACGTGTACGCCTTCTAGATGTATGTATTTTCGTGTCAAGCCACATCTGCGCTCTGAACATGCACGTTCTTTGTGTCGATGTCCACATTACAGGTTCCCATTGTGAGCTTCCTGTCGATGCCCGTCCTCGTGCGGACGCTGCCAGAAACTGCAAGCCGAGAAGGTGGGTTGCCTAGGTGACATTGTTGCATCATCCAGACAAAGAGGGTTGAATAGGCTTCATGGGGGTTTCTTAGAGTGTCATTAGGGTTTCATGGGGTGTCACATGGATTCAGTAGGGTTTAGGGTTTCAGGGGCCCTTCCTTGTTTACCATCTCTCTGCTCCGGAGACCTAAACTCTGCCCCAAATGCTCCTCAACCCGAAGACCCTGATAAGCCCCAAACTCCTAAACCCAGGGTTTGAAGTGAACCTAACCTAAACCCAAAACCCTAAACCCCGAAGCCCCCACATGAAGTGCAGGCCTGCTACGGCAAGCATTGGCGCACCCGGATTCGGAGCTGGAAGTCCAGGGCACCTTTGCTGCGGCCCTCAGCAGCTTTCGGGCTTTGGGGGAGGTTTTGTTTGGGGTCTATAAGGTTTAGAGGCTGGATCGTTCGAATGTTCCGATCTGCTTCGGCAAGTCCCATACGACACGCGGAGCGCACTACCCGAAGCCTTCCCAAGAATAGGTTCCCAGAACGGGTTCCCGCGTCCTCTTCTGAACGGTTTATTTAGGTTTAAGCGATGTGCAAGAATGCCCAAGACAAAGTACGGGTGTAGAGTTTAAGGTCAACCTCAAGTCCCCGTCGGCCCGCACTGAGGTCTCTTGGCGACCAAGAGCATCAAAGCTACGCCAAGTGGTGGAGCAGCTCTTTGATGACACGCAGGCCCGCGTGTCCTCAATACATGTCGGTTTAGGATGTTGTTGTGGCTCAGGGTTCTGGCACATGCCTGTGGCTGCCTAAGTTGGTCCCAAACCCGAAACCTTTAGACTCTAGACCCTAAACCAGTAGCTGCTCAACCCAGCATCAAAAAAAGCCAAAACCCTTGGGTCCTAAACCCAAGTTCTAAATCATCGTGACCCATAGCAGCTTCGGGTCTGAATAGTTGTCTTCAATCCTGGACCCCCATCGTTTAGGGTTTAGGGTTTCAAACTCAACATCCTAAACCCAAAGCTCCGGGCAAAAACGCAGCCTGCGACCTCAGCCCGATGCCTCCCCCAGCGAAAACCCAGCCTAAACCCATAGAACCATGAAACCCCAAACCCATGAAAACAAACCCATGAAACCCTAAGCCCTAAATCGTAAGCTCTGGCAGGAATCCCGACTTCAAGTCAAGCTTGCGCAAAGCGCAACGGGGGAGATTCCGCTGGCATGGACCGGAACTGCTTTCCAAGGTTAAGAGGCTTTTGGGGCTTCAAGGTTTTAGGGTTTAGGGGTTTGGGGTTTCGGGTGCCCTAAACCCGAACCCCACACCCCAGCCCCTACGACTTGCGGGGTCTGACCCCCCAAAATCGCAAACCTTCAGACCAAACCCAAACCCCACACCCCCAACAAAAGTCCAAGACCCCACTCTCCCTTTTTAAGGAGCACGCTACTGTCAAGACAAACGAGGGTTTGGGGCTTGGAGTGTAGGATTTTGGTCTTGAAGTTGTTGCGGGTGCGTGTACAGCCGGCGGCTACCTTGTTTGAGCCCTCGCTCGCCGCAGGATTGTTGGAAAGTATGCAGACAGGCGCAAAGGGCGGATACTGTTGATTGAAACAGTTGGGTCCACCCTCCCTGCAAACCCCTAAACCGCAAACCCTGAATCACAAACCCTCAGCCCTAAACCCTTAACCGGAAAACCTAAACCCTTCCGCATCCCCAAGCCCAAGACTCCTAGAGCCCCTCGGCTGTTTTGAATCCTATAGAGCCCCAAAGCCCTAAACTCTAAAACCTCTAAACCGACCCGACCCAACCCTCCTCAGATTTGGCTTCTCCGGGCTACAGGATGCCCGCGTTGCCGAGGCCATGGTGAAGCGGGAAAGCTGAATGCGTGTAGGGTCTAGGGCTTTGGGCTGTAGGGCTTTGACTGGAGATGCGGTTTTTGGTTATCATGGGCTTAGGGCTTCCAGGGTATACTATAGGCAGTTACAGGGTTGGTCGGTTTCGGCTTTATTGTGTCGTATGGGCATATAACCCTGAGATATGCTGATCACGACTCATAAGGTCTTGAGCATTGTGTATGGTGAGTGTACATGGTGTCCTTCTGAGTAGAGGTGAGTGTACATATGTTGGGTGCCCTTTTGGGAAACCACCAAAAAAGATCCTACCTCACATGCGTACGAGTATTAACGGTGGTTGTGTCGAACGGGTTGAATGCCGCAAAACAGACCGCGTGTGTGAGGTGCAACTTTGTACAGTGTCCGCTGGGTCCATGCTGGCTGAAGATAGTTGTGTTTGTTATCAACATTATCCATACAACCCATGTGATCAGAACCTGAACCGGAATCAACCAGAATCATCCTCCTCTTCCTCCTCATCATCACCATGGTCATCATCAACACCGCCATCACCACACCACCATCACCATCAACGTCATTGTTGTTGTTGCTATTCTTGCTTCGGTACCCTAAACCCTGAAACCCCAAAACCCCTAAACCCTAAACCCTAGAACTGAAAACCGCTAAACTTTCCGCTAAGCCCCGAAACCCTACCCCGAAACCTTGGGGCTGCAGGAAGAAAGGGGCTTGCCTTTGCGACTTCAGCAGTGTTTGAACTTGTGGTCCCTTGCGGGTTGAGGAATTTGGGGTTTAGGGTTGTGGGGTAGGCAAAGGGACCGCATGTGGTAGAACAGCCTATCAAGTGCCTAGAAACGTTTGGGCCTAGGGTTGAGGAACACGTTTATATAAACTTGTATATCTATCAACAATTCCAAACCCTGAAAGAAGGCTGTAGGCCCCTCCCCCCGCCCGCCCAACACAACAAACTCCAACGCTCAACCCAAACAAAGAGACCTACACCTTACAAATGCTAAAGTCTAAACCCACAACCCAAAACCCTAAAACCTCAAACCCCTCATGTGATAGACCCCCAAAAGACCCCTAAGCCCCCGAAAGAACTCCTAAACTCCCAACCCGAAAGCCCTGCCTGCCTTGTTTACAAGAAGCAGGCAGTGGCAGAAGAGCTCGCCAAAGCTCTGGAAGATTCCAAGGTGCCCAATGCTCGAGGATGCTTAGGCTTAGGGGTTTTTTAGGGGTTCAGGGTTTAGGGATTCGGGGTTTTGGGCTTTGGATGGTTTTCGGCGTTTCGGGGTTTAGGGTTGCGGGAATTTAAACATGCCGTTCAGGGGGAGCCTCAGCCCTGATGCGTTTAAACGGGGCTTAAATCCTAAACCCTAATAAACCCTGAATGTTAAAGGTTTAGGGCGCAAATTCCGCACGCAGGCGCTGGTTGTCGATCGCCGGCGCTTGACCATCAGAGCTCGCCAGCGAAATCCCGAAGTGGCGCCCGAAGACCACGATGATGTGGCAGGCAATCGCGCGTTCACTCGGCTAGCGTTGCCCCAAGACCCTGAGGACGGTTTTTGGATGAATGACACGTATGTTTGAATACACATGTAAATATACACATTGATGTACGTATCTATCTATCTGGCACAAGAGTCTTCTATACAAGGCCTTCGGTGGGGTATATATGTTGAACCTAATGCCCCGGGCTTCTGCAAGGTCATCAGGTCTCTCAGTCGTCGGTACAACTCCCTGAACCTTAGAACTCTAAACCTCTTACTCCGAAATCCTGCGTCGGAAAAGCCCGGTGAACTTGGGTCTCTAGATATGTTGAGGTAGTTAGTTTCCCGCCTTCCTCTCTCACGCGGTGTAGAGCAGTTCGTAAAACCAATTTGAATCAATAGTTGAGTTTTAGCAAAGTGGCAAATTCGCAAACAGAGTGGACATCAGCAAGCCAGTACAAGCGCTGCAGCAAGGACCTAGGACATCCTGCAAGCCGCTCCAGCCGTGGGTCGCATTGAAAGCTGCTGCGGCCCTCGCCCGCGCTTGCAAGAAAGTCCTCCGGCCTATTGACTGGGCAGTGGTAGTGCACCACCGCAGCCGGCTGCTCAAGAAGTTCCGGCGCAGAGGCGGGAGGCTGTTGCACAACGGCAGCCAGAAGTAGCGCTGTCTAAGGCTTGGGAGCCAAAGTGTAAAGTGTGTATAGTGTAGCAGTGTAGCACAGTGCTTCTAAGCCGGACGGGTTTGTTTGTTTTGTTTTGAGCGCAGGCCGCGTGGTGGCCACAGCCCCACGGAAGAGGAGGCCCATGGACTCAAGGCAAGGAAACCGCCGCATACGGCCGATGAGAACTTAGAAGAGGAACAGGCGCTTCGCTTGGTGGAGCGGAGCACCTTCCTCTCCTACGAGCCGGAGCTCAAGATGGAACTGCGGATCTCGCAGCGAGCCCGCGCTCTTGAGCGCTTGCGAGAAGAGCAGGAGCCCCAGGAGGCCGGGAGACAGCGTTCCCAGCCCCACAGGCGACGTGCGCGCGCACGCTTCACGACAGAGCACGCGGGCCTCCGAAGACTGAATTTCGCGGCCTGGAAGCTCCTCAAAATTTCTGGCAGCCGTGTGGAGCTCTTGAAAGCACAGAGGCTGGTGATGCACAGCTGCAATTGCATGAGGTCGCTGCCAGAAAGTACAAAATTCAGCCATACCCTCAGGGAAGGCCAAGCAATAGTCAGCACTGTCAGTCTTAGACGAGGATCCGCCTGCTTTTGCCAGATAACTCGATTGCTCACGGACCCTTTGCCAAATCCATAGCCCCCTTTCGATGTCCTTGTCCACAGTAATTATATAGACTCATTGGCTTGAGCCTTTCATGATCACTGGAGGGCTCCAGGGAAACCTGAGCTCAAGTCCTAAGCCTTAAAGCCTCACACGTGTGAATGTGTCTGGACCGACCACAGCTCCTCAAACCTCGCACGGCGCACAGCGCGATGGCGCAACACGCACACCTGAAGCCTACTCGGGTTTGTTTAAGGGCTGCATTGATTGTAGCTTTAGGGCTCAGGGCTCGGGGCTCTACCTGTAACATCCCTCAGACACCACCAGGCAACCTTACATCATGTATCATCAGCACTGATTTTGCACGCGCAGCTAGCGGCCAGTAGTAGCCGTTTTCCAGGACCCGGAACGGACCGTGAGTACCCTTACGTACCTTCCCATGCATACAAATCCCTAAGTGCACCCCAAACCTCAAACCCTAAACCTGAGCCGATTCCAGTTAAAACAAAAAACAAAACCCGCTACACCAAAAACAAAACAACGGGGATTCTTAGCGGATCTTCAATTAAAGGTCTAGGTAACCCTACGACACCCCAATCCCTAAACCCTGTAACCCCTGCACCCTAAACCCTTCTGCCTGGGCCCTCCCTCCTGAAGCTGCGCTGTATGGGCTCGTTGCCCTTGCGAGGCCCCAGTCAAGAGTGTCAAGAGATCAAGGAGGCCAGCGGTCGGTGTTGAGGGGATTTGCTTGTGGGCTTTTCGGGTTTGGGGTTCATTTTTTGGGGGCCTCAGAACTGCGAATGACGGATCCTCATCCCACTAAACCCCAAACCCTGAATCTCCAAACCCTTAAATCTCTGAACCATAGCTTGATGGAAGTGAGCTTTAAACCCGAACCCCAAACCCTAAACCTTCAAGCCCCTTAAGTCCCTGCATCCCTAAGGCATAGTTTGATCTGAGTCATGTCAAGTCCACTCCCGCAGGGGGCCGAGCGGAGAAGTTCCACCCGCAGCGGCCCCGAGGATGGCTCTAGGATTGCGGGGGGTTGGGGGGTTTCGAAGCGTAGTTCCATGGTTTCTGAATATGGTTCTTTAGCTTCGTCACAGGGTTCGGAAGTATGGGTTGGGTATATACGGGGTATATAAGGGGTCCCCATTTAAGGTCCCATATTAAGGGACCATGCAACTACCCTTAGAGGGTTAGGGGTTACGGTTGAGGGCTTAGAGGGTTGAAGGTTGAGGTTCTGGGTTTAGAGTGCAGGTTTACAGCTTGAGCGCTTCTAAACCCTAAAGCTAAACCCTAGACCCTAAGCCAATAAATTTGAAACCTGAACAAGCATTCGCTGCCTTCGTGGCCCAGGACTGCTCTGCCCTGAGCCAGACATATAGACATGGACCTAGACAAACAGCAGACGCATTCTTGCAGTTCCATACGCAGGGTTGATCGAAATTGTAGGTTCTTTCTGCTTCCCTCAGAGAGTATCTATATTGTTAATGACCCCGAAGTTTACTTTGATTCCCTGATGTCTCATTATAGCGAGTGGAGTCTTTAAGCCTTCGGCGTTTTTCCAGGAAAGACTGACGACAGCAATGCAGGGGGCCGGGCCCTGTCCCCAACCATGTTTCACACAATGGCGCCCCACGCGCCCGCGTGAAGTGGTTAACTCTTGGGCGGCTGCCGTGTCTGCCGTGCCCCAAGGTGCCTGGGGAGCAGTGCGCAATTTTCTTTCGGACCATTGGTTTCTGGAGTTATACATACCATCTAAATAGTCCTGACTGTGGCTTTCGGGCTTGGGGCTTCGCATGTCGGAATACCAGCAGCCGCTCTGCAGGTTACCATGGTGAGGTGCCGCAAAGCTGCGGCAGGCCGCCAGCCACAGGAAAGGCCAGCATGCCCTCGGTGAGGGATTTTCGGCCACCCCACGCGATGGCCCCGTCACAGGCGTCAGCGACGTATGTGCCTCGGGCAGCACCCAGGCCCAGACCAGCAGCCAGTGCAGCTGGGGCCGGTGCAGCTGGTGCGGGAGCAGCTAGTGGGAGGGCCTGGGGCTCTACCGGCAGCCAGCCGGAGGAGGCAGCTTCGTCTCCCGCAAAAAAAACCCAGCCAGAGACGACACCGCCTGACCCGGCGCCTGGCGAGAACTTCACTGATGTGCTGCGCCATCGTGCTGAGGCTGCCCATGCCACAGTTGGAAAGCACCAGTTCAGAACTGTCGAGTCGTTTTTTGACACACGTGGCGTGCTCTGACATTGCTCAGCTCAGGTGCGGGCAGTGCCTGGCGCCTAGCTTTCCCAACCTGGAACGGAAGCTCTGGTGTGAACGCGAGCGTTTGCTTCATCTGCCAGCAGTTCCCCAAACCTAAACCCTGAATCCCTGAGTCCCAACCGCTCTCTGCCGCCATTCCTTAACTTAAGGCATCGACAGCAGCACTGGCAGCTCCTCGTCTGAATGCTACAGCGACAGTGCACAGGGTTCAAGACCATAACACTGGCCCTAACCATCCTAAAACCTAATCCCGAGACATTCTGTTTGCTGACGGCCCAGGCAGTACCAGATGCAGCAGCAGAGGCAGGGTTTCATCATGGACCTCCCCCCCTAGAAGCCCGTAATCCACATGCCCGACACCTGACAGGCCCGAAAGAACTCCAGCCTGAAGAGCTTTCAGCTCTCGTCCATGTGCCCAGGGATGAGGAGCTGGCCAACCTGCAGCCCTTTGGCCTATCTAGGGGGTTGAATGGACAATGCGGTGCCCACAGGGGCCCTGAACCCAAACCCCAAACCCGTATCTTAGACCAAGATGAGCCCAAGGTCCGAGGAGGAGCGGAAGCGCGTGAGGAAGGGCCTCCAGGTGGCGAAGCTGCTCTCCCAGCACGTGGTGAAGGCGACAGCCCCAACCCACACTAAGGTTTAGGGTTTAGGGTTTGTGGTTTAGGGTTAAGGGTTCTAGCCCCCTGCGCCCCCTCAAGATTTTGAAGCCTGAACCCCCCTCCGTCCCGCAAACCTCTAAGCCCTATAAACCCTGAAGCCACCAAAGTCAATGGTCCAGAACTGCCCCGTAAAACCCTTAAGCTTTAAGCCTTAAGCCCTTCATTAAAACCATCAAGCTGCGAGGCATTTCAGCAGGCGTGCTGGATCTCAGCCCAACGTGGGGCCGAGGCGTTGAGACAATCCCCGGCATTTGTGGTCGTTTGTGGTATCGCACGTCCCGTCGGACGACTTTTGCCAGGACATACAATGGTGGTGCGAGCCGGCACAAAGCGAGTTGGCCTTGGGTCGCTGATGCTGCATTTAAGGCCAAATGAACCTCGATTGTTTTTATATCAAAAACACGAAACTACTAGACGGCCTATAAAGGTATATGAACCCTTAAAACCCTAAAATCCTTTGAGGGTTCCTGTGGTCCCAAAGGAAATTCAGACCCATGCATTCATGACAGATCTGCAGCCTTGGCAGAGTACTTGGGTCTGGGGCTATTCGCGTCTCTTGCGGTTCCTTGCAGACCAGGTGAAACCTAGAAGGGTTAAAATGATCCCCAAGCTAGGTCTGGGACTGCTCAAGATTCCCCACGAACGGGGTCAGCTTCCGACCCCGTGGTATGCAGAAGTTCCCACCAGTGCAATGGGTTATATGGTCCTTAGCGAGGGGGGGGGGGGGGGCTCATGGAGGGTAGGCCCCGAGGAACCTTGAGGGCGAGCGAGTAGTGGGGGTATAGGGAACCTTGGGTTGCATACCCCCCTTTGAACCCCCTTCCCTTAAGGACCCTACACGTAGAAGTTGATTTACCACCAGTACGCTCGCCAATCAAGGCATTGGGGATGACCTGCGATACTTCGAACCCGACATGCTGCAGAAGGAGGTGCGCTCGATGTCACAGAAAGTGCGACAGCCATTCGCCGTGCGCGAGCATCACCAGTAAGTAGCACACGCTCGTACAGACGTTTTGACCACAAAAAACAACAGACCCTGAGCAGCGAGGAATCTCTGAAGATCCGGAGCCCTGCAAAGCCTTTAACATCCAAAGCTCGGCCCGGAACAGCAGAGCTGCTGACAAAAACTGTAAGGCTGCGGGCCCTAACTCCTAAACCGAAATCCTTAAACCCGAACCCTGGAGCCCTATATGCCCTGAACCCTAACCTTGCAAACGGAAGAGCCCTGGAGCGAAAATAACGGCGGACCTTGAAGCCTAAGCAGCTTGGTGGGCTCAAAGCCCCAACCCGCGACACGTAAGTGCTTTGAACCCTCTAAACCCTGTGAAGCCCATGTGAAACAGTGTGCATAGTACTGTTATTGGAGAGTGTATATACTGTTGCTTATAAGTATTGGTGGGTGTGTATGTATTGAGTGTCCCTGCGGATAAAATCAGCCCTGCCTCTAACGTCTCCACAGGTTGAAAAGAAGCTCCACGACCTGGGCTTTGCGCATCACAGCACGACGGTTTCTGCCTTGCTCTAGAAGCAGGTGATTCGGGAAGTAGGCGCCCTATGCAGTCCCTTCTGTGGGGAGATATGTCAATTCCCCGAGTCCCTACACCCTGAACCCCAAAACCGAATTTCCTACTAAGAACTAGTAAGGTTTCCTGGGATGACGACGAGGGCCGCTTGAACATCGATGCCAGGCGCGTGCTTCTTCCTGCTGCTTGAGTGTAGGGTTCAGGTTCAATGTTCTCACCCGACACCCTAAGCCCTCAAACCTAAACCTTATATAATATCCTCGGGGGCTTCTGGCGCTATACGACGGGGCTTTGGGAGGGATATTCGGACTGGCGTACGAGTTCTTGGTAAGGACTTGATGACTTCCCGTACTTTTTATCCCCCTAGGGTTTTTGGGTTTGGTTAGAATATTTGGGGTTTAGGTTTAGGGTTTGCTTTCATCTCATAATCCCTGTGTTAGACTTGTCGACCCTGCGCAGCTGGGTGTTCAACGTCATGGACGAGCTCCTGGGATCATGGGCATGAAGGCCTACTGGATCCAGCTGGAGCTACGAGAGGGCAGCCGAACCTTGGGGACCAAATGAACCCTAAAAGGGTTCTTGGTTCGTATACCCGAATAGGGATTTTCGTAGCAGAACCTGCCTCGGCTCACGGCGCGGAACAGGGGCTCAGTTGCGGCGCGTGTTGCAGCCACAGCAGTTGTTGAATGTTTTGCGTGTGCATGGCGCAGCCCTCAGCCGCAGCTAGCTCTCATCTCAGCCCTAAGCCCCAAACCCTAAACTCCAAACTCAGACCCTAAACCCCCAACCCCATACCCTAAACACTAGCAAACCCTAAAGTTGTGATCGTACACCGTACTACAACAATCCCTATTAGGTTATACCCTATAAACCTAAACCCTTTTAGGGTTCATGTGGTCCCCAAGCTAAGCAGTCCCCAGCCTATAAAGCTGCGCCAGGTGCGGCAACGCAGCTGCGGCAGCTGCTGGACTTCTACTTCGACCCTTTCACTCTGCAGCACAACAGGCCCAGGGTTTGGGGGTTTTAGGGTTTAGGGTCTCGGGTTTTGGGTTAAGTGTTTTTTTTCTTGGGGGGTTTGGGGTTTTGGGGCTGCTCAGGCGGTCAAGCCCCAACCCCAGCCGCTAAGCCCCGCCAAGATCCCTATAGACTTACCCCTTTGTACGCCTAAACACCCAGCAAAACTTACAAGTCCAAAAAGCCCTGTCTCTGCGAGGTATCTGCTGGACTTGATCCTCAAGCGAGCCCGCGCCCCCCAGGACCATGCAGCCTGCGTGCCTGAACCTCAAAACCACCTTGTCTTTGTGGGTTGCCTAAGGACTCTATCAGGGGGTTTTAAAGTAACAACCTCCTTCGAAGTAGGTTTTGGCCTCTTAAAGTGAACCCTAAACGCTATAAACCTCTAAGCCAAACCCAAACCCTAACCCCAAACCCAAATTTTTCAGGCCTAGCGGCACGGGCCGGCCCCCGCCCCCCAAAGCACGAAACCTTGAACCTTGGCACTGTCTTCTCTTTCCCGTGTCTTTGTCCTCTCCTTCTCTCTGTCTCTCTTTTCTCCTGCCTTCGCCCCCCCTCCCTCCCCCCCCCCCCCCCGGCGCGCGCGCGCGCGCGCGCACCCGCATCAGGAGCATCAGTGGGGTTGGTTTGGGGGCCTTATAAAAAGCATTCTATGCATGCGTTTTGCCTTCGAAAAACCTTCAGAAAACGCTGTAAACACGTGTTTTTTGGGCTTGGGAAGCCTTTTGGGACCCAGGAAAGGGAGCATCATGAGCATCAGCGGCCTCCCCCAGGCCATCCAAAACCCCCTTAAACACGCCGATTGTATGTGCTTGAACGCTTGCGTGCCCACGAAAACCCCCAAAAGCAAGACCCCGAATGCCCTTAAGGGCATTCGGGGTCCTGCTGTTCGGGTGTTTTGTAGGCACGAAGCCGTTCGAGCGCGTAAAATGAGCGATTTTAGGGGCGTTTTTACGTGGACCCACAAAACACTCGGTATTTACGAGGTTTTCTGCTGTTGGAACACCCCCCCAAACCGAGCATCATGAGCATCAGCTGGGTCTCTGGGCCGTGGGCCCGGACCCCCCCACGAAGCCCAAGAGAAGCGATGGCTCGATGATGCGCCCGGACCCCGCGCATCAGCAGCATCAGCAGACCCCCCCCCGACGTGGGTTTCGATGATGCGCACTTTGGGGGCGGGTCAAGGGCAACAGGGGTGGGGGTCGGAGGCACGCGTGAAAAACCTCATAAAAACACGGTATGAACGGTGATTTCAGCGTTTTTTCAGCGTTTTTTATTGCCTTGGGCCCGCGGGCCAGGGCTGCTGATGCTCATGATGCTCGCCTGGTTTTGGGCTTCCGGTACCCCCCCCAAACCTTGAAAAACGTGGTTTCGGCCTGGCGCGCGCCCCATGTGAAAAGCTAGGGCCGATGATGCGCGCCCGTGAGGGTTTAATGGGGTGCTGCGGGTGTTTTGTGGCCTCGGTTTTCGTAAAAACCCATGGTTTTTACGAGGTTTTCGTGCTTTTCGCACCACCGCGTGTTGCGTCCCCTTGGGTTTTTGGAGGCCTCCCGAAGGGCCCCGCGCGAATTTGAAGCAATTTTGGGCGGGGTCGGCGGCTCGGGCGCTCGCCCCTTAAAGCTAGCGCTTTAGTGCGACGCGGGCTCCGCCCTGGACCACGGGCGGCGCGGGGGCCGGATTTAAGAGCCTCCGGCTCAAGTCGCCGACCCCGCCGGAGCATTGTTCAGGGCTGAAGCGGCGCAGCGTGCCCCGGCGCCAAACCCTAAACCCAAACCCGACCCTAAACCCTACAGCCGAAACCCTAAACTACAGCCTAAACCCTAAAGCCTCAGCCCTAAAGCCGAACCCTAAACCCCAAAGTAAAGCCTAAAACCGAAACCGGAACCCTAAACCCCGAAAGCCTAAACCGAGGACAGCCCAACGACCACAGGCTTAGGTGCAGGTTAAGGGGGTGGTGGGGCGCGAGGGAGGAAGGGGGGGGGAGGGGGGGGGGGGGGGGGGGAGGGGGGAGGGGAGGGGGGGGGGGCCCAGGGGGGGGGGGGGAGGGGGGGGGGGGGGGGGGAGGGGAGGTCTCCATAGAACACAGTGTGCACACTGTGGCCTAGCCCTCCTCCTGGAAAAGCTGCCGAGGTACCCCCCCCTACCCCCCCCCCCCTCCCCCCCCCGCTTTTCAGGGTCACCTCCAGAAACCTATCCAACACGCCGCCAGGGTCGACAAACGCCAAACCCTAAGCCCCCAAATCCTAAACCCCGAACCCAAAACCCCAAACCGTACACCCTAACCCCCCAAACCCCAAATCCTAAACCCCCAAACCCTAAACCCCTCTAAACCTAAACCCCAAACCACAACCCTAACCCCCCCCACAAAAGACCCTGGCGCCCTGGCCCCAGGAGAAAGGCCCATGGCTCGCCGAGGTGCCCCAGGAGGGTCTGAGGAATTTCAGGTTTAGGGTTTGGGGTTTAGGGTTTAGGGTAAACACCGTGGCAAGTTTGTAGGGTTGCAGTCAAGAAGGATCGGAGGACTGCTAGTCCTGAGCTCGGGAACACGAAACGGGAGGGATTACAAAACACACCAACCGGGGGAGTATGACAGGAGCAAGAACGTGCTAGCCTGCATCTCCTCCTGAAATCCGTCATGCTTCAAAAATGTCGCTGCCAGAAGTTCATCCATCTAATGGGCGTGATGAAGCCCATGAGGGTTGTGTTGTCCTGCCCGCGCTGCCAGGAACACGCAGTTGAAATTATTGCTCAAAACAGATTGCCTGTCACCAGCTGGGACCGAACACCGGAGAAACAACCGTTTAGAGTCAGTTTAGAGCTGTTTCTTCCCTGTCGCCAAATCGTTGAACAGGCAGGCTATATCTGCACGGCTAAACTGGAGTACAGTGGATGCTCATGTTCTAGCCATACCGAGCAGCCGTACAAGTGACCGCGGGAACATTTTTGGTGGCTTGTTCCTGGTCCAGGAGCCTGTGAATTTGCAGTTTTCACAAGCGGGTTTTTAGGTTCTTGGGGGTTGGGTGTTTGCGACTTCTTCGAGTCTGCAATAGGAGCCCTGCTTCCACCTAGGTGGCAAGGACCAAGTGCTCGCCTGTTGGTGCTGAAGATGTTATCAGCAACACTTGGCGCTGGAGAGTACAGGATTGCACTGTTAATTGGCCAGCAAAACTATGTGGATGCGAGCTGGAACAAGAAGGACAATCAGATCAAGTACTGCCACCGGGACATAGAAGAGGTGAATTACATGCTGACCGTTTCCTGTGGCTTTGATAAGGTCATCCCCTATCGTAATGCCACCCACGGGCAGGATGATTTTAGTACCCTCATGACGCAGCTGACGCAAGAAATCAAACCAGCAAAGAAAGTGCTTGTGCTTGTCTACTATGCCGGCCATGCTGTCAGCATTGCTGGGCAGAGCTTTCTCATTCCGGTGGATGTGACAGAAGGCGACCTTGGCAAATATGTCAACGTATACGAGTTCTTGCAGCCTTTGCATGATCTCATCTCTGAGCGCTGTGAGGCTCGTGCTAAGCGCACTGCGAAGAGGCTGAGTGCAGAGCCCGTGCCAGGGGCGGTTGCACTTTTGATCCTTGATGGGTGCAGAACTGCCCCGTCAACAGGTGAAGTGAGTTCTCAGGCCGAACCTGCCGGTGCCGAGCAAGAGATGGTGCACAGATTCGCGGATGGAATCAAACCCACAAATTCGCAGTTCTGTTTTCTCCTTGCCTGTGATGAAGGCTCTGGAGCAAGAGAGTGCGAGACGACCAAGCATGGTTTTCTTAGCGAAGCTTTTTTGCACTGTGTTGAAGCATTTCCTGGCATCGGCCTTCCAGATCTGTTCGAGCGGATTGTTCAGCGATGTGAAGAACGCACTGGATATAAGCAGCGCCCTTGGGTCTACAGCTGCTGCCGCAGCTTGTCTGACACAGTGCTTCGTCAGCGAGCCCGCCCAAGAGCAGCATTCCCGGCTCCAGCGTTGCGCAAAGAGGACCTTGATCGGTTATGCCCGGACTCTGCAGTGCTGGGAACATTGCAGGCGTGCGTAGGCCAGATTGAGGACATGACCAAGGCTTGTCAGGCACCGGAACCGCAGGAGCTGCAGACCATGCTCGAGATGGTGCAGGCTTTAGTTGCGCGACTGCTCCGCATACAAGAAACACTCAGTCAAGAGACTCTGTCTGTTGCTGTTTCCTTGATGAAGGGTCTGCAATGCCTTCTCCCACAACAAAAAGCAGTAGCCGCCCTGGTGACTCGGGTGCGTGCCTGTGCATGGCAAGAAGCTGCTAGGCGTCTCTGCTCAGAGACCGCCCTTGCCTCTGACGTCCAGCGTGGCATCAATGAAGGGAGAGAATTGTTAGACCAAACGTCGGTCACGGTGGCTGTGGTTGGTCCAACTTCGTCTGGCAAGAGCACACTGGTCAATGCCTATTTCGGACGCATGATTTGTCCAATGGGCCAAACTCCCAAGTCATTGTTGCCTGTGGCTTTCACCGCAAGTGCCGGCGTGTCCAGATTCGAAGTTGTTCCACAGGGGTGTGGGCTTCGTGGCTACTTGGCCCCACAGCTGGAAAGCATGAAGCTCCGGGATCTCACAAGTGATGAGGCCCATGAACTTATCAATTGCTGCAATGAGACCATCAGAAGACTCATCGCGGATGGCGAGCTTAGCCCAGAAAGTTTGCCAGACTTTAGTTCTTGGCACATGGAAGTGCTGGTGCCCGTGCCAACCTCAACGCAGTGCTTTTCCATAGTGGATTGCCCAGGGGGTTCAGAGGGAGGAAGCCTTGGCGAAGCTGCCAGTCAGTTTCTGCAATACCAGACTCGCGAGGCTTCTCTCATCCTACTGGTGCCTTGGCTTTGAGCAAGCTTCATGACAATTAACATGTCGATCATCGTGGCCACCCTAGTAGTACAGCTACCTGATGTGCCTGCCGTTTTCGGACAGCGGATGCGTCTCTCCGCGGAATTTTCTGCAGTTGGGCACTCCAAGGCGGTCTTCTCTGGAGGATCTCTGTGCGGGCTTGGGCCACTCGGCGGGATTCTTTGCGGGCTTTTCTAGAACCTGCAAGGATGCTCGGCGGGACTCTCTGCAGGCTTCTCTGAGGCTGACACTCCAGGGACACTCGGCGGGACTCTTTGCGGGCTTCTCCTCAGCCGGATTCTCTCTGAGTGTATGGGCGCTGCAGGGATAAGAAGTCTGCTCTTGAAAGTCTTAACTTCAGCCATATTACTGCTTTTGAAACCAGCAACGCAAGAGCAACATGAGCATTTCTGTGGTCGCAGCATACGTTTTTGCATTTTGTTGCCCCGAAGCGATGTAATGCAAAAGACGGCACAGAGCCATTTCATATCATGTCCATGAAAATGATCTTGTTCTATGTTCAGTTTGTGTAATGTTTTGTTTGTTTCCTCTTGCCACCCTTGGCTAAAGGCTACTCTGGCTCATTCCTTAATTCCGACTAAGCCCGAGCAAGTAGGGCTTCTCGGCGGGTGAGCGTTCCAGAGGGGTACTCGGCGGGTTGCGAGGGAGACTCGGCAAGGTTGTCTGGGGGTGGGCACATGCTGAGCGGCGGGACTCCCTCCAGGCTGGGCACTCTTCTCTGCGGGCTTACTGGGCACTCCAGGAAACGGCGTGACATGCAGCAGCATTCAGTGCAGTCATGGATGGGGAAACATCTGAGGTGAGCAAACCGGACAGCTTGGCACCTTTCTCGGATCACAACACGGCCACTGCTTTCTTTGGCGGCTCCTTCCCCCACAAAGATGTCTTTCTGGTTGTCACCCAGGTGGAGCAACTCAAAGCGCGTGATAAAGCTAAGGAGTGGCTGGGACAGAACATGTCTCGCCTGAGTGAAATGCAGGTCAGACGGCAATATTTTCTCAATGCGGGTGCCCTGTTAGCATACCAAATCTGTCAGGAAAGAGGTTGGGATGTGCTACCGGCGCATGCCTCGGCAGAGTTTGAGCAACATCTACAGGAGATTGAACTCTGTGTTAAGACAGTCTTGCCATGCCTTGATGTCATCAATGATGTTGATGAGTACGAGTCTGACCGCCACTTAGTTTGGAAGAGGCTTCAGACCCAGCACAATCAGACGTGGTCGGGCAACAGCATTTTCAGGAATGAGTTGGAAGGACACATCTGCCGCACATGGCCTGACCTGTTTTGCGGCAAGATTCGTAGTTTCGTTCTGGATGCCTTAGAGGACCCAATGCAACGACTTCGCCAAGCTGTGCAACACGCAGAGCTGGCTCAACAGGAGGCACACAACCTCAAGCAGAAAACCCAGGAACTTCTTTTCCAAAATCAGTGGAGCAGCCATGCGGAGCAACTCCTGTCAGTGGCGAAAGAGAACACCATGACGAATGTCAACCTTTTCTGCGACATCATTGACAACGGACCAGAGGATTGGTTCAATCCTACTTGCAGGTCAGAGTTTTGGAATTTAATCGAAACTATCACTAACGCTGATGTGGCTGCTTCCTGTAAGAAGTGCAATTTTCATACCACCAGCAAGTACGTGACTGAAGGGTTGCGCTTTGACACAATAGCCGACGCAAAGCCCTTTTTGACAAGTTTCGGACAGTGGGTTTGCCACATGACGCACGAGGAGTTGGACCCTTTGTACGATCTACTTCAGGAAACCCTCGATCAGCTGAGGGCTCAAGGCTTACCAATGCTTGTGCCCAGATCGAGGCGAGAAGCGAACGAGACTTCGCTCATGCATGTCCCGGATGGTGCACTCCGCAGCATCGCACCAAAGGACCGCGTACTCCCTGTTGCCTATACTGCAGCTGCTGCGGCTGGAACTCTTGGGACTCTTGGAGCGGCGGGTGGTTTTCTTGCCACAGCCGTCGTTGCAATTCCTGCAGCAGTTGGCACTGCAGCGTACCGTGGAGACAAATTTGGAGATCGTTTCGTGGGCGACGCGCTTTATGGGTGGTACCAGCACTTTTGCGGTAGTGACTTCGTCGATATCCGTGGAGAGCATGTGCGCAAGCTTGCCGAGGAAGAAGTGACGAAGGAGATGCACAAGACAGGAAATGAGGTTCTGAGGGAGCTTGAGCGGGCGAAGGAGGCATTGAACACCTCAGCCGAGACGCGGGTGCAGGCCGCTGAAGAGGCACTGCAGCAATCAAGAAACATGCTCAAGGCCTCAGCAAATGCCAAGGAGTCGCTTTGCTTGATTTATGTATGATGGCCAAAGGAGGGCGCTGTGAATGCGCAAGCAGGCAGTGCATGCACGCATCCATGCGAAAGACAGGTCATTGCAAGCCCGAAAAACGTGCTTTTTGTGAGCTTTTTACGTGTGACCCAACCTTGATGCCATAAACCCCCAGCCCTACTTAAGTCCGTAAACCCCCGAAGGCCCTCGAAGCTTCCCCCCAGACAGGCACTCCACGACTGCCACTTCACTTTCGAGGAGTTCCTGCGCGCCTTTTTCGTTTTGTTTTTTTTTTTAGGGTTGAGGGTTTATAGGGGCTTAGTCCCCTTAATCCCCCAAACACACTTGAAGCCAGTCGTCGCTCCCGCGCGGATTGCCCGCAGACAGCTTTGCCCAACCCTAAACCCTAAACCCCTCAAAGCGTGGGGATGCAAGGCCCAGGATGACGTTCAGGTTGTTTTTTGAGTTAGGGCTTTTTTGGATTCAGGAATCAGGGTTCAGGGTCTTTGGGCTTGCAGATGTAAAGGGCTAATGGGACTCTGGGGCCTTTCGGTTTTTGTAGGAGTGGGGCTTGCGGCCTTAAGTGCTTGACAAGACGTGGGGGAACCTCTTGTCCCCTAAGCGCGAGCCTACAGCCTAAGTTCCCTAGACCCCAAACCCTCAGCCTTCTAAACCCTGACTTGTAACCGGCCCCGATGCGGTCTACGCTGGGAGGATCTCAAGGGACTGGGCCGCATCCAGTCCGCGCTGGCGAAGCCGCGCCCCCAACTGCAGAGCTCGAGCTGCAGGGGTCTTTCGGGGGTTTCAGGGGTTGTGGGGGCTTTAGGGGTTGTAGGGGTTTTAGGGGTTTTCAGGGGTTTCAGGGGTTTTAGGGTCAAGGGTTTTGGAGGTTTCAGGGGTTGCGGGGGCGTTAGGGGTTTTAGGGGCTTTGGGTGTTTTGGTAGGGTTTTGGGTTTAGGGGTTTTAGCGGTTCTAGGGTTTTAGGGATTGAGGGAGCTGGGGATTTGGGGACTTGGGGGTTTGGGGATTTAGGCATGAAGTCTTAAGTCAGAACTAGGGATTAGGGTTTAGGATTTCGGTTGGAGGGTTCTTGGGTGTAGCCTCGTTCTTTGTGCCGGAATCAGGAAAAGGCAGTCAAACCCTACCCACTATATACCCAAAACCAAAACCCCGCACCCTGCACCCCAGACCCCGAACCCTAAGCACCTAATCCCAAAATGCCACAATAAGAATGCCCTGAATTTCAGGTGGCTGCCCCCAGGAATTTCAATCCCGACTATGCTGATACAATGGGGGCTTGCTCAGAATTCTGGGCTTCCTTCAGTGTGGCGCGTTGGTATGTAGTTGCAAAGTACACAAGCAAAGTTGATGATGTCCATTGCAAAACAGTACACCCTAAACCCCCAAACCTACACTCTCCACGCCATGTGTGCGAGGCTCCAGCCCTCAGACTGGGCCGCGGAGCTTGGCAGCTTGAAGCACTTGACCTGCGATGCCGGTGGCCCTTTGGCTGTCATCTCAACACCTGAGCCCTAAACCCTATAAACCCTGGAAACCCTCTAAACCCTAAACCCTATAAACCCTAAACCTTAGTTTAGGGCTTAGGATGCCGCTACAGCCCTGAACCTCCCTAAACCTCGAAACACTTAGGGTTCGGCGGTTGGGGTTTCAGCTTAGGGGTTAGGATTTGGGGGATGGCCAGACTTGTTCTTGTGTCGGTTTGGGGGTCCGGGTAGTTTTGGTTTCGGGTTCTAGCTGCACATGTAGCGGGTTGTTGTTTTTGGTTTTGGGGTTCATCACCTCTGCCGCCTAGTTGGGTAGCTTGAGAAGATAATGTTTCTGGGCTCAATAAATCTACCCCCAAACCTAAACGCCAAACCCTGCGAGCCCCCTGTATGTACTGACCTGCGTGGGGTGTGTGTGCAGCGGTTTCGTGTTTCACGTTTTTGTGGGTAGGGTTCACACTCCCTATGTTTAGGCGTTGGGTCGGACCAGGATCCTTGTACCTGCGCACCCAGCTGGAAGTGCGGAACTTCGTCCATGCTGACGACGCTGACAAGGCGCCGGAGTATCTTCATTGTTTATCATGGATTTGTTTATGTCGCTCTACTCAAAGGTAAGCCCAAGCGACCCTTAGTCAAACCCTTACTTGGGCATTCGGGTAGGGAGTTGTTATAGTTGGGGTGGTAGTGTAGGATCCCCGTCCGGTTGCCTCATTGGTGAGACTCACCCCCTGAAGCTGGAAGCTTCGTGGCTAGTGGGCAGTCGTCCCACCCCCCCCCCCTCCCCGCCTCCCATGTAGCTACAAGCAGCTATAACTGCAGTTACCCTACTTGTGCGCCCCCCCACCCCCCCCACCCCCGCACCCCCCAGGATTTCTAGAGACTCCAATAACACCTTCCCCAAAGCCTGAAACCAAACTCTACATCGGGGGTTTCTCTAAATTGTTTGTCCCTTGTGGGGCTCATATTGCAATACGGGAGCTTTCTAGTTAGGGAACCCTAAATTCTTAACCCTAATCACAAAACCTTCAACATCATTCATAGAACTGCCCAACGGGAACTCCACAAGTGGTGCAGGATGTGGCGGCCGGGGTCTCAGGAGATTCAAAGCCGGCTCCACTGTAGGGCTATTTTGTGGTTTGAGGTTTAGGGCTTTCGGGGTTTGAGGGTTTAAGGGTCTAGGGCTTTGGGGGTTTGAGGCTTCAAGGGTTTAGGGCTTTGGGGGCTTGAGGTTGAGAGCTTGAGGGGGTTTCGGGTTTCGCAGTTGAGAGTTGAAGGCTGCATTGCTCTAGGGCTTTAAGCGGTCAGTTAGGTGTTTGGGCGTTGAGGCTGTCAGGGCTTGGGAGCTTCTCGTTTCGGGCGTTTCGCTTTAGGGATTAGGGCGCGGCGTGAGTCGAGAAATTGTAGAATCAGGACTTGACATCGAGCCGCAGTTCCGTGCAAAAGCTGGAAGGACAAACACATGCGCCTACTATAGCCCGCTTAGGAACCAGTTGTTATATATTTATATGAAACCCAAGGAAATAGCAGCAAACAGCATTTTATTAGTGTTCTAAGGGGAGTATAGCCTAAACCCCAAAGCCTAAACCCGGTCCAGGCATCTGCCGTGAGGTGCGCCTCTTCACTGTGGTGCGAGTGTGTCTCTCAGGGCTGCCATTAAACATAAACCCCTTGTAGGTGACGCAAAAGATAACAACCTACAAAAAAGCAGGTTGTGCCCGAACCCTGCACCCCAAATACCCCTGAACCCTGAACCATAAAGTTCAGAGAGCCTGAACCCACGAACCCGGAGTTGCCATGTGTGGCAGGTACCTCTCGGCTGCCCGTGAGCAGCGTGAGCAGGCAGCTCCCCTATCTGAATAGGGTTTAAGTTGTAGGGTTCGGGATTTTAGGGTTCAGGGTTTAGGGTTTAGGGTTAGGGTGCCTGGTTTAGGGTTTCTGCACCTCGAAAACCTTGGGATTTTATGCTGGTTTAGGGTTTAGGGATTCAACACTGCCTGAACCCTTGGACTACACACCCCACGTCGTCACTACTCGTGGGAGGCAGAAGTATACTCTCAACGTTCTCCAAATTATCGTCTGCCCACCCCCCTGCCCACCCACCCCCCCGGTAGCAACCCCTCCTGATTGAGCGTCGTGCACGTTTCCATGTCTCTCGTAACCCTCAACCCTTAAGCCCTCACCCCAAAATTCTTAACCCGAAGTCGATGCTTTCGGGGCATCTTGGCTCAACCAGCTGCAACTCTTTAGCCCCCTTAAAGGCCTGAACCCTAAAGTTCTTAAAGCCCCTGAACCTAGCCCAAAATGTACATTAATCCCTTTCCCCCGCCCCTACCCCCCCCCCCCCCCAAAAAACCCTGGCCTCGTTCTTCCCTACTTTCCAAAAAAAAAAAAAAAAAAAAAAACAAAAAAGAAAGCTGATAATGCCGACATCGCCTTTTAAGGAGGACAATTGGGAGGAGGGGGGGGGGGGGGGGGGTGGTTCTTAACCCTAAGCCCCTCCCCCTCCGCCCTTAAGCGAGTAGTTCTTCGCAGGCCCCCCCTGGTATGGTGAGTGTCCTCTCCTACTCCATCGCCGACGCCTTTAATGACCAGAGCGCCCAAGGCTCCGAACCCTGGGGGAGGTTTTGGGCTTTAGGGGTTTTAGAGGTTTCTAGGGTTTTAGGGTTTTACAAGTAGGGTTTTAGTGTTTTCCGGTTTGACTCTAGGGTTGAGGGTTTAGGGCTTGGGGTTCTTCGGGTAGAGTCCACAACCTGCAAGTTGACCGATCCACTGAAGCGCACCAGCCCCTTATTCCCCAGAACCCTCCACATCTTCCAGGCCTGTCAGCCGTCGCATCTGAATGTCACTAAGACCTAAACCGTTACCCTCATCCCTGCTAAGGGCTCCTCAGCCTTCAGGGCTGCCGCAACCTACACCGAAAAACACCTCTGTGTAGGGTTGATAGGGTGTAGGGGTTTTTGCAAACTCCACAAGGCCCAAAGCCCTAAACTTTAAACCCCACACCAAGGCCAGCAGCGCCAAGCTAAAGTGAAGAGGCAAGTCTTGGTCTACCACACGGCGCGGCCCTCATCGAGCTTGCGATCTAGAACTTGGAGCGGGTGGTTCAGGGTCTCGGGTTTAGGGTTTCGGGTTTGGGGTTCAGGGTTTTGGGTTGGGGCCACTGTACCGTGAATCCGAATCTGCAGATGTGAATGCTCTCGGGTCATTGCATCCGGTGACCGAGGACCTGATCTGCTTGCAGGCCCCGCTGCTTTCCTGTGAGAGAGCAATCCAAACAGTCCATGATTATTGTCAAATTGTCACCGCCCGTACATGTATATATATATATCTCTCTCTCTGACTCTCTCTCTCTCTGTATACGTGTGTGTACATATATATATATATATATTTATTTATTTATTTATATACATATCTCACACACGCGCACGCACACATGCGCGCCTACACTTGCTTGGAGTTTGGGCGGTGCCTCTGGGCGACAGCCTTCCAGAGCAAGCAGCCATCCGGAGCAAGCACCCTGCATTTGCGAGCGTCAAGGAGCCAGGGCTCAAGATCAAGTTGCGTGGCCTCAGCAGGGTTTTTGTGATTGTCAGAGCTGCAAAGACAGCTGATTTGTGACATCGGCTTTGGGGGTTACAGGGGTATTCTGTGTTGGGAAAGGTTTAGGCTTGGCCTCCAGCAAACGACTGCCAAGATGGAGCGGCAGCTTAGCCGCACCCTGCCTGCAAGGATAAGGTTGGTGACCCGGTTGGTGAACCGAGATCTGTCCCAGTGGGGTTAGAGAAACAGGGGCTCGTCAGCATCAACTCGTAAAGCGTGACCGGTCAATCATTGTAAGGTTTAAACGGCGTATGGCCCCGGCTCCTATCATGGGTGTTTCATGTGGGTCTTTCTGTACCCGGAGCCCCAAACCCACAATACCATACAAGATTCCGTTGTTCGTTGCAGCTCACACCAGGATGGTTTGTGTCGACTCCCCGTCCGGCGATTTCCAGAGGTAAGGCTGCCGGATCTCAGCCGTGCCCTCAGAACTCAACACGGTGTAGGGTGCAGGGTTTACAGGATTTACAGTGCTTTGTGTGCCAGACCGAGGCCATCACCAAGCTACCGTTTGCACGGAAGCTCCGGAAGAGAAAGGCCAACCCCAGAGTTGCGGTACCCCCGAAACTCCTATTCCACTGTTCCCGAAATCATGTTGCAAGAGTACATCGCAATCTTTCTGAATTAGCGGGTATTGGAGTCTGTGAATTCCATTGCAAATGTCATGCGCCAGCAGGCAACATCTTTGGAATCCTGCCATGGCATCGTTGGCTGGTGTGCCTGGGCTTTGGGAGTTCGGGTTTAGGGTTCTACGGTTTTTGTGTCTTAGGATCCATGCCTTTGTTGTTCTGCGTTCTTTCTCAGGCCGGTATCCTGCAAATGTCCAGTGCCCGTCGCTGCGCACGCCAAAATCGGTGGCTTACCGTCGGACGAATCTCAGACAGCAGCATCGAACCCAGCGTGGACGACAACAAGATGCCGGACGATGTGTGGAAGTATCTGGCCAAGGCGGCTTTGCCTCAATTGTGATGACGTCCTCGACGCCTACGAATCCCCTGACCCTAGGCCCTAGGCCCTATAATCCTATAAGCTCTAAATTCCCCAGCCTGCTCCTTCGCCAAAAAGTCCTGCCACCCCTGCACCCTCTGGATGTTGTCCTTGGCCGACGCCAGAAGCCTCAAGCCAACCCTGCTGGCTCCGGAAAGGGATGAGCTTCTATGAACTAAAGAAGCAGAGAGCCCTGGCAACGGAGTAGGGAATAAGGGAATCAGGTGAATCAGGTACCCTAAGCATCCTTTGTATCAGGCTAGAAGGTACCTAAGGACTCCATTCCCGAAGTAAGAGCCTGAGCCCAACTCCTGTTTCTTGAGCCCCCCGCGCGCGCCACAGGTCAACAAGACCCTTTGGCCGCTCCTGATGCGTGTTGCGGAGGCCTGGAAAGGGGCAATCTTGAGGCTTGGTCTTAGGGTTTAGACTCTCAACCCTAAACCTTCAACCCCGCAACCCAGAACCACCAAGCCTGAAGCTCTAAGCTCTTATCAACTATCGGACCCAGGACCCAGAGAAGCCTTATTCCCTTTTCTAGTCCGTAGGCTCCCTTCCAAGCCCCTTTTATTCCTAGTTTACTCTTGGGTCTAGTTAACCGTTTACCCCCTAACATTCCCTGAACCCTGCTTAAATGCCAGGCCGAGGGCGCGGACCTGGGCGGCAACGCTGATGCCTTCAGCCGGGCGGCCATGGGCTTGGCGACCTGGCAGGACGAGCTGTCCCGCGGCAACCCGGCACCCATTTTGTTTTGCTTTGGCTGGTTGGTGGCGGGGGGTTTGGGTTTTGGGTTTTGGACGGTAAGCTTGTTTTGGAGCTGTGGGGGCTGTAGCTTCTTCAGCAAGTCCTTGGCCTTGCGAGTATTGTGCCTAGTAGCACTGAAAGGCCAAGAAGCAATGCAAGCCCTAAACTTTGCCGAGCGAAGCCGAGGTACAATCTGGAAGGATGAGACTCTTCGGCTGGAGTCAAGTTGGGGAGGGGCCCGGCCTCAGGGGGGTTGCTGAGCCCTGAACGTCATGAACCCCACCTTGCCCTCCATCCCCTCTCAGTGTTCCCCCAAGCTACGGAAGGCATGGACCCCCCCCCCCCCCCCCCCCATCTGCCCAGGAAAGGGGCGAACTGGCCGGCTGAGAAGAACATGCGAAGCCGATGGCAAGATTTGTTGATCAGCAAGGGCCTGCCCCAGCTTGTTCGCAGGTATCCGAAGCTGATAGATCCGCTCCTGGAAAGCCTTCTGGAAGCTTAGCAGTCAAGTAAGCTTTATTCTATAGCCTATGATGGGCAGATATGGGCAGCATCTAAAGACCTTATATGAGTAACTCAGAGTGTCTCCACTTCCCCTGCGAAGGAAGCCCTGGAAGAATACCACAACCAGAACATGCAGCAGAAGCAAGACCAGCAGGGTGGTGGTGGTGGAGGAGGCTCGGGGCAGTCTCAGCAGCAGCCGCAGGCCGGGCAACAGGAGGAGGAGGGTGGGGGACAGGATGAGGACAAGGATGACGACAAGGAGGACAAGGAGGACGAGGAGGAGGAGGACGACGACGGGGATGGAGACGATGAGGAGGAGGACGAGGAGTCCAAGTCTGAGGAGGAGAAAGAGAAGGAAAAGCAGCAGCAGAAAGAGCGAGAGAACAGGGCGGATCAGATCCTGAGTCAAGTGGCAGAGCAGTGGGGAAATGCGGCCAATGCCATCAATGCTGCGGATGAAGCCTTCGGGTCGGGTACAGGTTCCTCGATGTCTGATGGCTTCTCGCTGGGCAGTGGGGAGTGGCACGACTCGGTCTCGTGGAAAGAGTGCCCAGGCGAATGAATTTGAGAGCTGGCGCTTACCTAGAGTTCTTAAGCAGGGAATTCGAGAATTAGGGCCCCTATATGATGTCTTAAAGTTTCAGATGGAGGGACCTATTTCCCTCATCGCCTGCCGAAGAACCAGTCAGTTAAAGGTTGGGTCTTCCGTTTCATGCCTGGGGCACCCGTGCAAAGCTCCCGAAGAAATACGGGGATTGACCGCAATATCAAGTACTGCTAGCCCCCTTGCATGCCTCAACCCTAAACACTAAACCCTAAACCCGGAGCTGCTGAAGTTCAACCTACGGGTTGGGGTTTCGGGTTTATAGGGTTTTTTAAGGGTTTAGCCGGGGAGGGTTTCAGGTTTCGGGTCTGAAAGTGGTGGGTGCGCGTGCCCATCGGGCTTCTGCAGAAGTTTCGGGTCTCTAAGCCCTGAACCCCCAAAAATCCCAACAATTTCTGCGTTCGGGGTTTGGTGTCCAGGGTTGTGGGTTTAGGGTTTAGTAGGGTTAAGGCCCTAAACACCCTGAACCCTAAGCCCTGTCACCTCCCAGTGCACATCCAGTTCTCTTTGCTTGCTTGTTCTTAGTACGGGTGCAGGCAACTCGGTGCCTTCTACTTCCCCATGTGTACATTCTTTCTTTGAGGGATGATATAGGGTACCTACTTCTTTCAGTCCCCATCAAGAACTCGCAAGTTTTTGGAAGTTGGGGGCCAGAGTCTAAATAAGGCACCCAAGGACAAAGAATCTCAAGCCTCTCTCAAAGCCACTAGAAGATAGCCACCTCCTAAAACACTCTCGTGAAGCCGAATATATGAGCCCAAAAGAATGTCCTACCCGAAACAGCCATTCCAAAATTCAACAGGCCCCTCTAAAACAGGCCCCTCTAAAACCGAAAGTCAAAACCCTAGTTAAACCTTAAACCCTCAACCCTAAACACCCTAAGCTAGGCTCCAGCAGTTGGCGAAGATCCTGCGGAAGAGCCCGGAGCTGAGGGAGCTGATCCGCAAGCTGGGCCGGCGCAGCGCCGTGAGGGGACCGCTACACAAGCTCCCCGAGGAAGGTTTAGGGTTTAGGGTTTGGCTTGCCTTTAGATTTAGAAGCCCAGAAAACCCCCCTGAAAACTTAACCCTAGACCCTGCTAACCCACGAAACTCCCTGTGAAGGAGATCTTCAAGGAAGGAGCGCCCAATGGTGTCATCCGCTCGCCAGCGGCTCCTGCCGAATCCAGCGGCGTCACCTTGTCAGGCCGCGGCACCCTAAACTCCTAAACCCTAAACCCTTCAACCCGAAACCCTATACTGGAGAGCATGAAGCAAGCGGGGTCAGAAGTTAGTGAGTTCAGGGGTTACGGAGGTTCGGCTTTGGGGATCGGCTTTGGGGAGCCATTTAAGGTTGAGTTTTAGGGTCCGGGGTTCTGGACTTCAGCCCTTGGGGGAGAGTTTGAGGGTGCAAGCCTTTCAGAGCCCTTGTTTTCTGACCCCCCAACTTCGCGCACCATGGGCAGGTTTCTAGAAAGCTTCTTTCTAAGGCCCAAAACACCAAAATCAAGGCAATTTGCACTTAACCCTAAAGATTTAAAACCATAAGCCCTAAACCCCCCAAAATCCCTAAACTCGAAACCCTCAACCCTTAAACCCTCAACCCTAAACCTCCACACCCTATGCCCTAAACCCTCAACCCCAAACTGCTTTGGGGGGCCGTTAGGAGGTCGCTTTAGGAGGCTTGTCTCCCCTAAGCCCCAAAGCCCCAAAGCCCTAAGGTGAGAGGCCCAGGACCAGGTCCGAGTTTTCTCAAGGGTTCCCTCAAGGGTTCCAGAGAATCGGGTTTAGGGTTTCGGAGTTCGGGTTTTGGGTTTAGGGTTCAGAATAGCTAGCATGCCTGAACCCTATAAGCCCAAAACCCCAAACCCCGAACATGCCGACAGAAACCACAGAAAGGGACGGACTCCCAAAGCTATCCAGACCCCACACACTTTGAATCCTGAAACTCATCGAAGCTCCTTGTTTAGGGTTCATAGGGTTTAGGGCTTAGGGTTTAGGAGCTCGGCGCAAGGTACCTGGGACACCATGCTGCCCAGCGAAGCACAGTTGCTGGCGGCCAAAGTACCGATGCCCCTTGGACCTAGGGATGGAGATTTCAGAGGCCCGAAATCACAGAGGGTTTTTAAGGGCCATTAAAGCCCCATCTAAAAGCCCCAAACGCCCTCCGTTCTAATCCTTATATGCCTTGTCATAAGCCCTAAACCCCGCAACCCTGCAACTCGTGGCAAGGCTCCGTTCGCTGCACCACTCGCGACGCATCGAGCAGTCGCTTCTCTGCTACGACCGCAGCGCCTGGCTGGAAGATTCCGCGAAGATGTCGGGCAGGTTGCGGACGGGGCCGTGTGACGAACTAGAGGATCTAGATCAATCCCACTCCAAACAAGGTTGAAAGATCCAATAGGCAAGCAAGCTACATTTCCTGAACTCTATCTATGCTCTCAATGGCTCTACGCCAGATCCCAATTGCCTCCTTTGCATGGACAGGTCTGAGATGCGACCTTTGGGCGAAGCCGGTCCGTTGATCGTGTGCTGCTGACCTGTTGTAAGCCCAGTTGAAACACACAATAAACCCTACCCTAAACGCCAATCCTTAAGACCTAACCCCCAAAAATCTAGGACCCAGCCGCCTCCCCCCCCCCCCCTTCCGGTGACACCGATGTATTGGAGTCTCTGACTAAGCCATCCCGGACACCTGCAAACCCTTAAACACCAACAGCTCCCAAACCCTTTTTCCCGTATCCCTATATAAACCCTAACCCCCAAAACCCTAAACCCTAAACGAAGCCCCAAAACTCGAAGCCCTAAGAACCCATCATCCACCTTGGGGACCACACGAACCCTAAAATTGGGGGTCATGTATGGTAGACGGACCATAAACCCTTTTGGGGTTCATTCGAGCCAGGTGTTTGGATACCAGCGGCAGCATGCTGCTGGGCTGTACGAAGGATGTCTTGCTTGGGGTTTGGGGTTAGGGCCTTGGGGTGTGGGCCTTGGGGTTTGGGTTTTGGGTAGATAGGCTTAGGATTCAGGGGGTGAGAGTTCTGGGCTACGGGGTAGTATCGGGGCGACCGACTTACATCCCTTAGCGTTAGAAGCTTCTGTTTGTCCGTGATATTCTCCGCAGCGAAGGTGCGGGCAGCGGGAAGTGCTGAGCAAAGCCTTGGTCGTCGAATGTGTCCGGCCACCTGCATGCAAGGGTCCGGATGCAGGTCGTGTCGGTTGCGCCTTTTCTGCTCCCCCGAAACCGTAAAAATCCTGACCGGAACCTAAGAGAAAGCTCCACTGCCACTCTGGAAGCTGCCTGCGTTGTCCCGAATTCACGCCAACACAATTCGACCCAAAACCCTGACCCCGAAACCTCAAACCTTCGACTCTGAAGCCCATCTGCCTGGCGGCGCTTTAGGGTTTAGGTTTGAAAGGGTTTAGGGTTTAGGGCCACAGGCAGGCGCATCGGCAACGGCGCCCCTGCTACCTCTACGCCTTCTCTGGCATGGGGGACCTGCTGCTCGGCACCGTTTCGGAGCCCCTCTAAGAATGTCTCGGGAGACCTGAAGTGGGTTTAGGGTTTAGAGTTTAGCGTTTCGGGTAAAAACAAAACCCTAAGCCTGAAAACCCCAAAGCCCGCAAAAGCCCTAAGACACAGAAAACCTGAAGCCTCCGACCAGGAGAGAGCTAGAGTTGGACATGTCGCAGGATGGCCTGAGGCCTCGAGCAGTTCAGGGTTAGAGGGTTTAGGATTCGGACTTAGGGCTTACCCTAAACCCTAGACCATAAACTCTAAACCCTAGAAGCCCTACAAGTTCTGTAATTTTCTACAAACCCCATAAACCCTATAATTCTTATAAGCCCTATAAACCCTTAAGCCTATGAACCCTAAACCTCCCTTAGGCCCCAACTAGCTCCAACACGATTGTGGCTCGGACCCCTTCTGAGGTGTTTTTGTTTTATAAATTGATGGGCTTTATAAGGGTTTATACAGGTTTCTCGGGCTTTTAGGGCTTATGTTTTTTTTTTGGGGGGGGTTCGTGGGGTTTTTGCTTTTGTAGGGTTTATAGGGCTTAATGACGTTGACAGGGTGTATCGAGTCTAGGGGTGTAGGTGTTATCTGCAGTGGAATCGATTCCGAATGTTTTGGGTCGGCTTGAGCGGCCTTTCTTCTGTTTTGGGGGGAAATTCCGGATGGAGAGAGTGCCTGCCCGGCAGTCTACGCCCTGCGGCAAGAGTTTGGAGTTTGAGGGTGGGTAGTGTAAGTTGCCGCACTCGTGAGTGAGCGCGTGATGCCCCGAAACCTCGACCACGAACTGTGGCAGGAAGGTCTTGGACTTTCTGAGAAGCAGCTTCGGCGGCGGGACTTATTTGGAGGATGCCCTGCATCAGACTGCCGAGAGACTGAAGGATGATAGCTGGCGCAACGCAGAGCCTCATCTGCACAGCATGTGGCACAGAGAATCAGCTTACAACATGGGGTTCTCACCCTCAATCAAGTACGCTGTCTAAGAGATGCCCTCAAGAGACTAAGCCCTAAGACCGAGTCGCAACTGCACTGCTGGTGGGGTTGTGGGAGTCGGGCTCAGGACCTGCTCATCGTCACTGATGGGCAGCTCGATGTGCTCCTTGCCCTGGGCAAAGCCCTAAACCTTGAAGCCTAAGCCCTAAGACCTTTCATTTTCCCTAAGCCCTAACTCCCAGACACCAAGCCTCTGACTCGCATGAGTCCATACAAGGCTAAAGCCCTACAGGATGTGGGGTTTGAGAGATTCGGGCCTTAAGGCCCTGGGGATGTAGGGGTTAGATCCAAATTCTCCTGAGCTGTACACCCTAAGCCCCAAACCCGAAGCCCTAACCTAAACCCTAAACCGGGCTTGCAACCTCTCTGAGACCCCAAGCCTTCTAAAGAGACATTCTAGAGATTCCCCGAAGGTTGGGGGTCTGGGGTATTGAGGGTTTTGGGTTTAGGGTATTGAGGGAACCTAAAGCCCCCCTTAAAGCTGAGGCGAACGGGCGACGAGGAGCCCATCTACCAGGCCCGGAGGGAGTTCGGCACCAAGGTGTTCGGCTTGGTCCTGGCGAACTCCGGCGGAGATGCCATGGACAGAGGGGTCCAGGGTCTAGGGATTTGGGGTGCATAGGATTTTTGTGTTTCCAATTCTTGTGTGTGTGTGATGTTATTTTTATTTTTTTTTTTTTTTGGGGGGGGGGGGTTAGGGTTTTTTTGGGCTTAGGGTTTCGGAAGACTTCTTGTTTGGAAATCCTTGCGGGTGTATCAGTGTTCAGTGAAGCCCCTCAGCCCTTAGCTGGGAAGATGAGCTGCGCCCTTAGCCTGGAGCCTGACACCCTAAAGTCCGAAGTACCTCCACTTCTTGAAGCCCTAGACACCAAAGCCTTCATAAACCCCAAACTCTCAACTCGATCCCTGGCATAGTGGTTTGAGCTAAGTTTCAGAGCTTGGAGGTTTAGTCGTCAGCATTTTGGGTCCGCTAGGGCCGTCTGAGTTGATGGCCGGGGAGCAACAAAAACCCTAAACCTCCAACCCCAAACCCTAGGCCTCAGGATTTCAGGAATTATATTGAGGGGAGTTCAGGATCTTCGCAGCACAAGGTGGGGGTCTTGGGTTTCACGTAGAATGCGAACCCGAGCCTTGGGCTGAGAGAAGGTGCTTCGCGGGCGAACGGTGGAATATCTTGGAAGCCTCAACCTAAGTTCACTTAACCGCTTTAGGCTTAGGGTTTTGGGCTTGGGGCTTGGGGTTGACGCCCCTCCCCCCTAACTTACCAAAAGCCCTAAATTACCGTTCATGTGCAAGCGAGCAGGAGCGACTCTGTGACGAGCTCTATGTGACCGGGGACGTCAGAGACGGCTACTCTTCAGGCTGCTTGGGGTTTAGGATTTCCTTCTTGCCTGAGTTTGATTTTCGGGCCGTTAGAAATCCAAGCTTGCTAGAGCTTGGACTGGAAGTCTCAACAGGCCAACGCCCAAAACTCCAAACCCAAAGCAGTCACTCCTTACAGCTACAACTTCTGATTAGTCGTCGGGTCCCACACATTGCCATGTTTGCGCAGGCTCGTCGAACTTGGCCTTCCCCAAGCTGAAGCTTGTGACCAAGGAGCAGCAGCCATGACCTTGTGCTTGAAGCCTGTAGCCGGCAAGCCGGCCAGCGGGCAGTTCGCTCAATGATGCTGATTTCGGGTACCCCAAATACCAGGGCCTGCATCGCAAGAACCCCCAAAGGTCTTTGAGGGACACCCTCGCCCTGTTTTGTTTAGGGGTTAGGCGTATCGTGTCGTGGGTTTAAGGGTGAGGTTCTAGGGCGCCAAAGGGAGTGCCAAACTACTTGTAACCCGCTTTGCTGTCTCGCTTGCCGGCCGCGCGGGCCATGCGCTTCGGCTGGCTCGATGCCGGCGTTGTACATAGACATAGACAAAGGGACGTGCTCCGGATTCACAAGCGACTGCTTCGGAAAGTTTCGCTTGCCGCATGCCCTCCAGAAAAGACCCGTCTTTGCAGCGAGACTTGATTTGCTTCCCATGGGGCTTGCCTTGACATTGTCTGCATGACCAACTCTGTGATCAGGCTAGGGCTTTCGAAACTAATTTTGCAGCGGTCCTTAGGGGTTACATGAAGGGAGCCGATCATATCCCGCATATCCTTTATTGCCAAAACCCTCTGCCCGAAACCCTACGTCCTGAACCCTTTCACCATAATCCCCATGCCAACGAGACAAATTAATTATGTTCCCCTTCTTTGGGAGCACGAACGAGTATATTGCAAAGGAAACCTCAAAAAAAACATCATCTTGGAAGCCCTTTGCATGCTAGGGGTTTAGGGTTGAGGGTTGTGGGCTTTTGGATCTTAGGGTTTGGGGTTTTTAGGGTTTAAGGACTAGGGTTTAAAAGGTTAGGGTTTCATTTAGGGTTCAGGGTTGAGGCTTTCGGGAGGGTTTAGGATCTAGGGTCGGTCGGAAGCCCCAAAGCGGAAGGGCATCGATGTGGCCCAGAAGCGCGGCGCGTCGCTGGCATCCAGCTTGACAGAGGAGGGCTACAGCCGGACGCCCAGACTGGCACCAGGCTTTGAAGCCACCGTAGAACGCAATCCACGCCCCCCCTCCTTGCCCGCCCTTGCCCAAAATGTAGGGTCTGGGGTTTAGGGCTTTGGGCTTAAAGCCTTTAGGCCACAAACTCTAAGCCCCTGAAGGCTTCGTCAGCTGCAGCGTGGATGGCGAGGCCCCGTCTCATTAAAGTGCCAAGCAACCTGTTGAGGGTTAGTGTTTAGGGTTTTGGGGCCTGAGGCTTGGGTTTGGAGTTTGTAGGGGTTGGGGGCAGGCGGAGTTGTCGGGGGGGAGGTGGGGAGGGGGGGTGTCTGTAGCGTTATGTGTTGGATTTGTAGTGTCTTGGACTTCAGGGTTTTACGCTTTAGGGTTTGTCGAGTTTTGCTCAATTCTTAGAGTGAAGGTTCGGGGCTTTAGGGGTTGTAGGGTTTCGGTGTTTCGGCGGCTTGGGTTGTTTGGGCAGTCAGTAGGCATTGACGGTTTAGGGTTTAGAGGGGGTTTGGGAGATGCTTCTAGGCCTTTTGGCCCTTTGGGTGTTAGGAATTTGGTGGATTGGACTTGTGGGGGTGTAGACTTAGAAGTTGCTGTAGGGGTTGTTTCTTTCGGTTCAAGGTTTGTCTTTGGGGTGTAAGTAGAACTTGCGGTTTAGCGTAGACTCGTTGCTGGGTCGCTTGAAATTCAATCGGCTGTCGACGCGACATGCTTACATCCACCTTCAGGCAGATCCGAACATAAAACGGAATCCATGGGCAGGACCTTGCAGCTGCAACCATAGAATCCGATAGCCCATGGCCCATAGCCTTAAAACCTATACCTCTAGTCTAAACCCCAACCCAACGTTCTAGACGCTGCGTTGCGGCGCTAAGTCCCGAAGGTCCAAAAACCCTCTCGAACGCCCATTGGTCCCCCTTCCAGTCCCCCCATTCCTTTTTTTGGGTCAGGAGCCCTGATTAACAAGTTACTATCCCAATGAAAGCCCCCCCTCCCCCCCCTCCCCCCAAAGAAAAAACGAAACAAAACAAAATCTCTAAGCTCTCAACTCCCAAACTCAAAAAGCCTGCATCTCCAGTTTCCTGAATCTCCAACCGAAATCTTGAAGGGCTAAAATTTTGAGACCCACCCACCAAAACCCAGGCCAACTCAATTTTCTGGGACCGAAGCCGCTGGGAGATGGTTGGAAAGGAGGCGTGGGCAGTGGTTCGTTGGGGCTTTGGGTTTTTGGGATTTGGGGGGTTTCGCGTTCTAGGGTCCCTAACCCCGAAACCTTATAGGTTTAGGGTACGGGGGTGGTTCAGGTGTTCTCAACGCCAAAAGAAAGGGTTCAGGATTTAAACCCTCCACCCCATAAAGCGCCATCGCACTTTGACTTTGAGGGCTGCGCCGGTCGCCACTTCAGGGTTTCGGGTTTAGGGTCAGCCTGAACCTTTTGGCCACTATTTGCGTAAGAACCCCTTCCAAAATGGTAAGGATATTCTTCGTTATAAGGGCAACATAGGGAATATTGTCTTTTAGTTTTCTTTTTTTTTTTGGGGGGGGGGTTCTTGAGAAAATAGTAGTTAAGAGCTTCGATGTAGTGTTTGGCTCAAAGTTTGCAATGTTTTTCGGGGGTCTCAGGGCTGCTAGCCTCCACCTTCTTCCACCCTAAACTCCAAACCCTAAACCCTAGCCCCTAAACTCCAATGCCCCAAAAAGAGAACACAAGGGCTTCTTCATCGGACGACGCATCGGTCACGGTAGAGAAAAGGGTGATTTCTCCAAAGTATGGTCCCCAAAAAGGGACCCTAAATTTACCATAATATCATATTATGATGCATTAGACTATATTTGGACTATGCTGGATGATATACCTCTTCACGAGGAAGGGGCTGTCCTTTCGGTGTCCCTCCGGCCTCTGGAGGAGCGACGAGAGGGCTTCGGGGTTTTGGGCCTACTTTTTGAGGTTTGCATCCAAGTCGCAGGGTTTCGGGCGTGAGGGGACAATAGAGCTTGTACCCTACACTTGGACGTTTTTGAGTTTAAGGTCTGCGGAGTGTAGGGTTTTGAGTTGTTGTTTGTGAGAGAGCCCCAGGGTCCCCCCACTATCTCAGCTGCTGCCGATGTCAAAGCCCAAATCTCCCGAAACCACGAAACCCCAAATATCCCAACCCCCCCCCCCCCCCCCCCAAAAAAAAAAAATCACCAACACCCTACAAACCGCGAACCTGACCCCGAAATGCCCCTGGCCCGGCTAAGTACCTTGAAGCAGAGATTCCCTCTGCTGGCGTCCGGCGAGGACCCAGCCGTGACGATTCGAGCGCTTTGCTTCAAAGCAAAGGCCTGCACGAGTCCATGACCCTGAGCCCCACATCCAGAAGCCCTGAGCATCCCAGGGACCATCACACTCGGCTCAGGGCTTCTGGGGAGTAAGGTGCAGGGTTTAGCCTCGGGCGTAGGGTTTAGGGACCTATGTACACACTCCATCACAGTTCAATGCTCCCAAGTACCTCTAAAGGCTCTAAACCTGCAAAGGTTTTCGTCCTTAGACCTACAGCTTTCAGAAAAAAAACACCAAACCTCCTCAAAAGCACTGTACACAATCTCTGTACGCCCCGCAAGCCCGAACTCCCAAGCCGCTGAACCTGCACTGCAAACCACGTAAGCCCGATGAACCTCGACTAAAGCCCTGCAACCGTGAGCCCAAAACCCCAACATCGTAAAACCCTAGCCCCTAACCTCCAAAACGCCTAAACTCCATAAACCCCTAAACGCTTAAACTCCCAAAAAAAGCACCCCAACGCCAATCCTTTGGAGGCGTGTCCGGAGCCCACCAGGCCGATTGGGGTTGTGGGAGTTTTGTTGAGGGGGGAGGGGGGGGGGTTTAGGGTTTAGGGTTTAGGGCTAAGGGTTAAGGGTTGTCTTGGGGTTTAGGGCTTGTAGGCCTTAGGGCAGTTTGGGAGCTAGGCTTCGGGAAGCTAGACTCTTTGGGGCTTAGGGGTTTGCAGGGTTTAGGGCTTTTAGGGTTTTGCGGGGCGACGGGTTGTCAGGGCTAAGGCAGGTTTTGGGGCATAGGGCTTTCAGGCCTGTGGAGTTTCCAAGGCATCGAACACCTTTACGCCCCCAAACCTCCTCCAAAACCCTGAGACCCCACGATTTCACAGGGTCCCAACACCCCCAACCCGGTTGCCCTAGGCACCTTCAAGCCGAGGATCCTTTGGCGTAGGGCTTTGTGTTCGTTCTTTTTCCCCAAGGGTGGTGAAAATGGGCCCTGAATTTGGTCCATTACCTCCTTTAAAGGGTTCTGAAGTCTGGGCTTTCGGGTTTTATAGGGTTTTTAATTTGTATATATAAAGGATCCCAGTTTTGGGCCCGTACAAAGAGATCATGCAGAGAGCTATCCCAAGGTTTTTTCTCTGCGAGGTGCTGAATTGTTTTTGAGTGGGATGCCAACAAACGTTGAGCATACGGTTTGATTTGGGTTTAGGGTTTTAGGGTTTAGAGTTTCGGATCTACGGGCGGTTTTTGCAGGTAAGGCCGACATGGCCAGCCCAAACATCGTGGGGAGCCGCAGTCGCCACCAGGTTCTTCAGCTCTACGGATGAGCCCCTGCTCGTCTGCACGGAGCGTGCCGCATTGTCGGGAGGGTTCGAAGATCATGGTGATCCCTGTGTCCCCAATGTTGGCACAGACCCTAAACCCTAATTAAACCCCTAAACCCTGAGGGCCCTGAGCCGAAACTTGCTCTGAACGAGGACCTTTCCTGGTTGGGCGGCGTGCAAGCTGCCGGAATCCTCGAAGATCTCATGGGTTGGGGCCTTAGCCCAGAACCTGCTTCAGGTTAGGGGATTAGGGATATAGGGTTACAGGGTGCAATGGTTAAAGGGTTATGTTAAAGGGTCTAGGGTAATTTGTCTTGGGGTTGCTTGTGGCTTCTAGATTTTTTTGCTCGTAGGTCTTACCCCACCCAATGATCTACGACCATGGGATCCCATGATACCCCCCCCTAACTACTCAAACCCTAAAGCCCGAAATCCCAAACCCTAAGCCCGAAAACCCTACAGCTCTAAAACCTCGGATGCTTGGGGCCCTTGGTTGCTCGCCGAGGCTCCTCAACCACTGGTACTTCAGGCTTAGGGTTTAAGGTTAGGGGTTTCGGGGTTCAGGCTTTAGGGTTTTGGGCTTGGGTTTAGGGTTGTTTAGGCCTTGTGGTATAGGGTCGACCTTCTACGAAACCATGAACCATAACCCCCCCCCCCCGCACCCCCACCCCAAAAAACTTCCCAAAAAGCCCTAAGCCCTAAACCCTGAAGTCCCCAACAAAAAGCCCTAACACTTATTGCGGCTGCCCACTCTGGCCCAGGCCTGCCCTCGGTCACGGAGGAGGTGCTGGGGACCGAGGCGCTGCTTATGCCCTGCAGTACCTCTCAGCCAAACTCATGAACCTTATCAGCCCTAAATCCTAAACCCTAAACCCTAAACAGCTAAGCCCTTAACCTTAAAAACCTTAAGCCTTAATTAAGAACCCTAAGCCCACAGCTGCGAAGCCCTCAACCTCATAAGCCCTAAACCCTGAGTCCTCAACCCTAAACACCCTGCTCTGCTTGGGGTTGAGTCCCCAGGGTTTTTGGGGAACCGAGGCCTGCGAGCTCTGCCATTTCTCTTCGGTAGGGTTGAGAGTCTAGAGGGTTTATATGCGCCAGCATAGGCGCACCCCCCCCCCCCCTCCCCCCCCCATGGTATCCCTACCATGGGGGGGGGGGATTACGCGCAACGCGGGCGCATATAGGGGTGTTAGGGCTTCCGCCATGAAGGGAAGGCCCTATGAACCTATGAGTGCGAACCTCTGGAAGATCCTGTGGCGTGTGGGTTCCGCGGCCATGTGCGTTACCTTCACCCGCAAGATTGTGCAACCTTTCGGGGGCGCCCGTAGGGAATGTATTGGCCCCAAAAGGAGAGATAGGCTCTGGATTCGGAAGCGAAGCGGTCGGAGATTCGGAAGCCATGATTCAGAAGCTATCGCCGGTACGACAGGGAAAGCCAACAGGGACCCTAAACTTTGCCCTTAAGCCCTCCGAAAGTCTCCGGATGGTGTAGGACGCCTGACAGTTTCAGACGCCTGGTTCCTGAATGACGACAGAGAGCCTAAACCCCCAGCCCCCAGATTCCAAGCTGCAAACCTTATAAAGCCTTAAACAAATCTGCAAAAACCGGAAACCACCCTATAAACATGAACAGAACCCTCAACCCTGAACACACCTCGTCCCCCCTGCCCTCAACTCAAAATCCCAGAACCTGTAGCCCCAAACCCGAAACCCTAAACCCTTAAACCCCCAAGCAAAAGCCCTCAACTCAAAGCCCAGAGTGTGCTTGGCGCAGGTCGCCGCGCACATGCCCGCCCCGCCTGGGCTGAGTCAGGCGCCCCTCCTTTTCTGTAGCTGTCGGATGGTTAAGGCTTAGGGTTCAGGGTTTAGGGTTCAGGGTTTAGGGTTGAACCAAACTTGACCCTCACTGATCCGTTAGGCGTATGAGACCCTACAATCGATAAAATCCTTACAACCCGGAGCCTTGCTTAAAGAGTACAGTCCTCGAGCCACGCCCGATAGCCTTGAACCCTGAATACTGAACCGTCTGACCCTGAAACTGTTGAAATCTCTGCAGCCCTAATTCTCAAACACCAAACCCCAAACCCTAAAGGCCCTAAACCCGAAACGAGGACTGCGAGCTGGCGCCCGTGCGCTGCGCCACCGGATTGAATAGGCCCCTTGCGGGGGAGTAGGATGAGGCTTGAGGGGTTCAGGGTGTAGGGTTTAGGGTTTGAAAAGGGTTGTAGGGCTTCAGGGTTTAGGGCTGATAATATGTGAGGTTGAAAAGATTGAGGGCTTTTGGGCTTCTTCAGGGTTTGCAAGAAGGAAGGTTCCTTAGGTCAGAGACATGTTCTGCAACTCATGGGTAGTGGAGTCTCTGGTTTAGGTTTTTGTGTGGAGTTGAAGGTTAGGGCTTTAGAATATGTAGGGTTTCGGGTCTAGGGCTTTGGCACATTTGGAGTTTGGTGGACTGAGGGCTGAGGGGAGGGAGAATATGCGAAGGTTGCGCCCCTGTTGGGATCATGTAACTCCTAGATTCAAGCAAAGAAGTTTGCTACACAAGACCCTAAGCCCAACATACCCTGAACACCACAACACCCTAAGCTCCAAGACTTAAACCCAAGCCCAAAGCCCTAAACCCTAAACCGTACTGTACAACAGCTCATGAGACTTCAGCCCCATAGGCTGCGTTTCCCTGATGCCGTCTTCTTCCACGAGATGGCAGCCGTTGCGGCGCTCTCAGGCAAGGCCTTGGAGTTTAGGGTTTAGGGGTTTAGGGTTTGGGGCGCTTTAGGGCTCAAGGGCTTAACTAAGGTATGCGATGACTCATGCACTGTGCGTTGTACTGCAAGGTCTATAGGGCTTAGAGGCCTACAGCTCAGAGGCTTCATAAGTCCCCAAACCCCTCAACCGCTAGACTCCTAAACCCTTAACCATCCTAAACCCCTAAACCCATGAACCCGAAACCCCCAAAGAAGAGGAGGGCCCCAGGATTCCACTCTTGCACAGGCCACAGCGAGGGATACATGGCATCCATGCCACCTGAAGCGGGGCCCTCGGCCGCGGCCATTTTTCGGGGGTTTAGGGCCACGGGATTAAACCCTAAACCCGAAGCCCTTCAGGGCCTGGGGTTTTGGATTTCGGGTTTAGGACTGGAACTAGGGGCCTACTCTGGGTCCCAGTACACATCCGAAGCTATAAACTCTCAACATCCCTAAGCCCTGAGCCCCCATCTCTCTCAATGATGACGGGAAAGCGATACTACTCCTAGTGGTTTTGGGAGCCCCGGGCAAGAGGCGCGGGGTTTTAGGGAATTGGGGTTGAGGGGCGCAGGGGTTTTAGTGCTTTGGAGCTTGTAGAACTTGTATAACCCCCAAACCCTGAAACCCTAAAGGGTTTTGGGGCGTGGGGGTTTAGGGTAGGTGACTCTTGGGTCTGGTAGGGGTTAGGGCCTGGTTGAGCTGAACGTGCGCAGGTCTTAGGGATTGGGAACCCAAAGCCTCACCCGCGAGCCTAAGCCCTAAACCCCAAACCCCGAAATCCTAAACCCCGAAACCCTAAGCCCCAAACCTGAATCGTGGATCCCAAGGATGTGGTGCATCAGTTTCCCTGCTTTCGGCTTCCCATCGTTGCAGCTTTCGACTGGCGCACGCCTCAGACTTGAGGTTTCTATGCGTGGAGGGTGGTTTAGGGGTTTTGGGGGTTTAGGGGTTTTAGGGGTTTAGGGATGGGGGGTTTGCGGATTCAGGGATTTAGGGTTTAGGGGTGTGAGGGTTTCGGGGCTTAGGGTTAAGGTTCTTGCGTGGGGTTCTTGCGTGGGTGATTTCTAGGTAGGGGCTAAGTTTGAAAGTACCCTTAAGTCCCTTTAAACCAAAAAGGCGCCCCTTTCCTTAGGTTACCGTAGGGTTCAAACATCTGTCACCTTAGCCATCGTCAGCTTACTCAGAGTCCGCTCGAGATGAGTAGTGTTTTTTTTGGGGGGGAAAGGGGGTAGGGAGCCCGAAAACCCTAAGCCCTCTGAAACCATGACCACGAGGGTTTGCCATTGTTGGGCTCTCGAAGCAAGAATTGGATGCCAATGTAGGATGGGACGAGTTGTCATCAGGATAGCGAGTCTGATTTGTAGTCCTTCGCTTTTTTGCTGGCCAACAATAAGATGTCAAGTGTATCTACCATTCGTTACTATTCCTGTTGCTACTCAAAATATTCCATGATGACAGCATGCCTGCGATTACTACTACCATTGTTCTCGCCATTTTCGCTCTTACTACCACCATAGGACGATTATCACTATTAGTATGTTTACGATCACTACCGTTCTGTCTACATATCCCCGCTTGCGACTATTAGCGATATTCCAGCTATGTCGATTGTGCCAGGCGCGCTGGCAGGGCCGGAAGTGACGAGGAGAGGGAGCTGCTGGACATCGGCCTGCCACCGGGGCTCTTTTAGCCGCCGGGTTGTCTCTCAAGTTTCGATATCTCAGATATCTCAGATATCTCTGCTCCTGCACAGCAGGTGGATGCACAATTTGTTTGTAGCAGATGTTTTGCACACTGCGCGGAGTGCCAATCAGGCCAGTGTGCTGAATTCAGCCGATGAGGACCGCAAAATCTCCCATGCACGGTATGCAGCAATTTGTTAGGCGGTTCGCATGGGGGTTTCCGCAAATCCTGCCTTCAAGGTATATCTGGGGGTATAGAATTTTAAAGGTGACCTGATCATGTTGGAAACCCCCATCTTTTCTGAGCCGAGAGCAGATCACCACAGTACAGTTGGGCTTGGACGTGGGCTCGCCGGCTCGGTGATCGCGATGAATCAGGCAGGCCGCCGAGTCCATACGACAAGAACCCACATGCCGAGACTGGCATCGCTGGGTCGTGGTTTCAGGCCATCTAAACAAGGAGAATCCTGCTCCAAGCTGCTGAGGTCTTAGGTTCAGCTCAAGCGGGTAGTTACATATATGGTAACCGCAATTGCTGCCTTAGATGGGGCACTACTTATAGCCAACTAGCTGTACCAACCAGTTGGTCGACCTGCTCAGGCGGTAGGCACCTCGCCTCAGGTGCCAGGGGACAGTTATTCACGCCACTGCGGGATGCGTGTTGTGAATGACCGTTCGCCCTGGGTCCTCTCCTCTCGCTGCCTTACCCCAAAGCATCGACTCTTTGTATGTCTTTGGGATGGTTTGAGTGGCCTTTTTGAGGTTTTGAGGATGGTTCTCGGGTATAGCTTTGTGTAAACACTCCCAGGTTGGCTAGAGTGGAGGATCCAGGGCGGCACACCAGGTTTCAGGGCAGACGAGCGCGCGCGCCTCCACCAAAAAAGCTGAGAGTGATCGGGCTTTGGGCTGTCAGTGTCTTGTGCTAACACCATACCCTAAACTCCCTAAACCATCCCCCCGGACAGGCCAAAGCAGCTGCCTTAGTGCTTGTTGGGTTCAGGCCTATCAAATGCCTTGTGTTTGCCACAAGTTTGTGAGGCTGGGCGTGTAGACCTGAAATGTACTTATGTAGATTCCATGGTCTTAAGGCACATGCCTCTTTGTCCCGATTTCGGGCATTGCATCCTGGCAACCTTTGTCGCGTCCTCGTCGGATCCGTCGGATCCTGATGGCAGCGCCGGTCCCCTACAGGCCCTGCAGCAACCCAGCCAACACACGCGACACCCTGCTTGCTCAGATGTCGATCCGGGTAGGTCCCACACGGCCGACCATAAACTGTGGAACCCTGAAGCCTCATATGAGCCCTAAACCCCTGCGTGTACCCCGCAGCTCGCACCGCCACACACGGACAACCCTTCCTCCCAATCAATGCTGGCGACTATCATGGATGAAAGTGACGAGCTGAGTACCGAGGACCTTTTGCAGCTTCAGCCTAGGTGGGTTAGCTGGTGAATTAGGTGTGTAGTGGCTGACCCTATTTGGGCGGCAGAACTTGAAACGACTGCAACTTTACTGCAATCATACGACAAGCCCCGCAGCCACACTGGTGCCTCGCTTCCGCCATGAGTGGACAATGGCAGCCCAAAACAGCTGCATGAGCCAGTGGCAGGCCCGAGCCCCTAAGGTCTAAGCCAACCCCCTCGACCCTGAGGTTTCGGTGAAAGGCCAAGCTCCGACAGGGCCCGGAAGACCTGACAGCCCTAAAAGCCCGGAAGCCCAACCCCAAGGCCCTGAGCTTTAAGCCGTTAACAAAACCTTGGCAGCCCAGCGAGTCCCGTTTTTGGCTTCGGGGCTCCCTTATAATTAATAAAGAAACCTACACCATTTTTCCCTCTGGTTGTTTCCGAAACTGGGGTACCTTATTTAAGGGAATCCTACAATAGGCCTGCACTCTTTGTAGGAACAGTCTGCCAGCTTATTTGCTACAACCCCAAACCCTCTACCTAGACAAAGAACGTCTTAGTGTGCCAACCTCCCCCCCGCACCCCCCCGCACCCCCCCCCCACCCACCCCACACCTCCCCACCTCCCCTTCTTTTGAAAGGGACTGAACCCTAAACACAAGACACCAAGCACGCCTAAGACCCTAAACCCCAACCCCCCCCCCCCTCCACCAAGCCTCGCTCTGAAGGATGTCCGGCTCTCCGGTGGACCGGTTGGTAGAAGAGGCCAGCGTCAGGACGCACGCTGCACGTGCCACGTGTTGCAGCCCTAAGCCCCAGACCCTAAACCCTAAACAAAACCTCGGGTTTAGGGTGTCTAGGGCCGACGTTCAGGAGAGCTCCTGTGAAGTTCTACGCCAGCTCCCGCTGCCCCTACGCCGGCGACCGAGCCGGATGCGCAATGCTTCAATTTTCGGGTTTAGGGTTTGGCCCAAGGCCAAGGTTTCAAAGTCTTGCAGGTTTATGGCTAGTACCCTCTTGGGCAAGCCAAATCATCAGCCCTCTCTCCCTCATACTTAAAAGTTTTAGGGTTGTAACCCAAATAAGGCGACACACCAGACACCAGGTAAAAGATTTGATGGCTACCCTACTTCTGCCAGCGATAGCAACCCATGAACCTCCAAGTCGAGCCCACTGATCTCAGGCACAGAGAGTCTGGATTGGGCTCGAGGAGAAGACCGTTGAATACCAATGGGTCGGCCCAGCCTGTATTGCAATCAGGCACCGCTGGGTTTAGGGTTTAGGGTTGAGGGTGTAGGGTTCGAATCTACTCCTCTTCTGGCCTGCTTCTTCTACCCTAAACCCGAAACCCCAAGCCCTAAGGTTTTCCAAGATGTAGCACCTTAATGCAACACCCCATGCCCAAGCTCCGAACTGTTTTGGGGTCTGAGGGTTTAGGGTTTTAGGGGTTTAGGGTGTCGAGCTTCTGATGTTTCCGGCCTTTCGCGATTTGCTGCCAAGCCGCGAAAGCTACCCACGGTGGTCACTCTCTGCATGTGTCAGGTGGAGATCGACTTGTGCCCCATGCCGAGGGATTCTGGGTTCAGGGTTGTGCAACTGCAGGAATTCAGGAGCCCAAAGCCCTGAAGCTCTCCAACCCTGAATGGGCCCCCATGAGACAACCCGAAACCCTAAACCCAAAATCCGAAGCCCTAAAGCCCTGATGTCGAAAACGCGCGAACCTCTACGTTGAAAGGCCAGGGCCCGGCATGACTGGAGATGGGACCATCCCAGCTGAGCTTGTTATGATTAGGGTTTGGGGTTTGGGGTTTAGGCTTAGGGCTAGAGATGAGGGCGTAGGATACCCAAACACCCTCAACTCCCTGAACCCTTGACCCTGAACCTATGGAAGCCGAGCATGAGAGCTTCGAGGTACCGGAGCGACTCTGGTGGTGGACGGGGTCGGTGGCTGATGCCTCTCGAGGCTGGTCATGGGGTTTAGGATTTAATATTTAGGGTTTGGGACTGAAGAGTATGGGGTGTAGGGTTTTGGGTTGAATACCAAGATACCAAGATGATCCCCTTCTAATTCTCAATATGACCTGCCCCAATGGTTGCCGGGGTTTGGTTTTGCGGGCCAGGGGGCATTCTGTAGATTGCTGATCTACGAAGTTGCATTTTTTGTTTTCTTTTGGGGGGGGGGGGGTGGGTCGGGGGGGCTACAGGTAAGGTTTTGGAGTAGGATGCTCCGGGTTCTGTGTTGGTGGGCCAAGGGGAAGATTTGGGGTGAACAGTCTTTCGTTCGTGCCGGGCTCACGAAGATCTTAACGTCAGGGTTTACAAATTATAGGGGTTAAAGAAGGTTACGGTCCTTCGTACGGCAAAAATGAGTTGTTGTTAAGGGCTTATCGGGCTACATTTTCTCAAGCGGGTGAGGTTGGTCTACCTATCGAGTAGGATGCTTGGGCCGAGATTGCGAGTGTAAGGACCTCGCTGCGGCTTAAAAGATGGGGTCTCAGGCATGGAAAAATGGGATCCCTGTTGTTGTCCTCACGCGAAAGTTGTGGCCCGAGTAAGGCTTGCTTAAGGTCTCTTTGGGTGGGAGCCCCTAAGTCCCAAACCCTATAACTAATAACTTTGAGCTTTTTTTGACTGAAGGGCCTAAGATGGGTGAGGGGTTTCTTAGGGCATGTTGTTTTGGGCGTAGGCTTCCATACTGGAACCTAAGCTCTAAACTCTAATCTCTAAACCCCAAGTTTTCTCCAAACCCTTCCTAGTCTTCCAAAACATGCGGTTTCGATTCTGGGGTTCGGAATTTGGATTGGTGAGTTCCGAAGCTTCTTAAAGTTCACTTCGTATGTTGGCGTGCTCGCCCTGAAGGGTTCACCGCAGCATTTCGCTGAAGTTTCAGCATATCAATTTACAACTTCGATGTTTAGGGCCTGAACCCTAAATCCTAAGTCCTAACAGCCCCAATGGCCAAGAAGCTCGCGACGGCGAAGCGACCGAAGCTGGGGTCGGTTGTTAAGGTGACCAAAGGCCGAAAGGCCTTTCACCTCCAGCTGCCCCCTCGTTTCTCCCTGGGTGCGACGGCCTCTTGGACCCAGGCATAGTTGTTTTTTGGGTTTTGTGTTTCCCTAAACCTTGAACCCTAAACTCTAAACCCCCAAAATTGAGGGTTAAGGGGTTTCCGTTTGGGACGCTGATCGTCCCTGTTGCGGGTGTTCAGGGTTTAGCGTTTTCATAGGGCTTTGAGTACCATATATTGCAGAACCGAACACAGGTTAGACCCCCCCTCCCAGCCTCGCTACTTTTCAAAGGTCTGCTCTTATGGCTTCGCCATGTTGGCCCCCAACCGCTGGCAGCCACCCCAGGCCAAGGGCTCTGGTGCCCACCGCAAGGGTGTGCCTTGGATGCTTGGGAAACCCCCCCTTACATTTGGCCCACAAACCCTATAAACTCTACGAGTGTGAACCTCTATATAAGGGTTTACGAAAATAGGGAGCCCCTGAAGCAGACCAGGATTCCCTTAGAATAAGGACCCCCACGTATATACGGTACCCCTTAACATTGACGACCCCTATATGAACCCTAAGAGCAGGAAAGGCCCCAAGCCCCCAAGGTCTTCCTCAGACCGCTTCAGCTGGCGCGCGGGGGCGCCGCGCGAGCCGCCCTTCGGCAGATCTCAGCGCGGGTCCTGGAGGTGTCCATGTCGAAGAAGCTGTCCTCTGCAGACGTGGGGGTGCTTCAACAACAGGTGGGGGTCGAGCCTCTACTAAGCTCCCCTTTGACAGCCCACCACCACCCCCAACCTTTCAACAATAAACAGGAAGCCCTAAACAGCCCAAAATCCTCAACCCTAAGCACCAAGCTCCCCATACTCCCTTACGCTCCCTAAGCTCCCCAAGCCCTAAAACCTAAACCCCTAAACCCGTAGTACACCCTAGAGATCCGGGAAGGTGGTGCGGATGCTGCGCCTGGGCCATGCCGACAAAGCCGCGGCCGACGCCTTCACCCGAAGCAGCCCTGACTTGGCCAAAGCGCCGGCCGCTCGCCTTCTCCAGAGCTTTAAGGGGGTTGGGGTTACTAGTAGATATCAGTTTATGGTCCCTATATATAACCCCCAAACCCCCCACTCTATTAAGGCCCCTATAGTTCCTAGGTCTCCAGCATGCTTCAATCCTGCGGGGGGTTTAGGGTTCAGGGTTGAGGGCTCAGGTTTAGGGTTAGGGTTTAGGATGTAGGGCTTGAATCCTAGCGTCTGGAGGCTTGGAGTTTATCCTTGGCTGCCGCACTGGGTTTCATAGGGATGCGAAGACACGAGGTCCCAACACCCTCGTTCAACGAAACCAAAGCCCCCGAACCCTAACACCGGACTCCCACGAACGTGGCAGGTTGGAAGGCTCTTCCGCTCTCCCACCGTCTTCGAAGACCTGGCCGGGGGATGATCCCAAAAACGAAGGGGGTGTACACCCTGAACCCCCAACCCTTCAAGAATGATACTACAGATAATTCGAACAGTTCTAATCATGTATTACTTACTATGCCATTTCTAATCTTATAAGTAAAACACAATTGCACAAGTAGTAATAATAAGAATTTTCTTAATAGCAAGATAAGTAATGTCTATTTACCAAAAAAACAATCACCAAATATTAACAGTCTTAAATTAGTACAAGAAAAACCTCAAAATCCTAAACCCTACGTAGGCTTCCTGGCTTCGGCCACCAAGATTCCCTTTGGCCCTCAACCTGAAGCCTCAAGCCCTTCAGAGGTGAAGACCTTCACCCTGTGCAATTGCGGTTGGACTAGGACACGATCGCTGTTGGGGGGGGGGGGGGGGGGGGGGGGGTTGTAGAGTAGGGCCGGTTTAGGGTGCAGGGTCTATGGTACCACCCAGCCCCCACCCTGTGATAAAATCTGTTTTAATTGAGATCTCAGCCCCCACCCCAAATCTATCTTAAGATTTCAGCCCCAATACTAGGATAATCTATCTGAAGATCCCAGCCTAAGTTACCATCTTCTGAATCCCTATAGATTGCATTGCCAATGTGCGCTCTAGAGGATGGTCGCACGTTGCTAACCCATTGGGAGGTTGGTTGTGGCGCTAGCAGACCTTATTTTGCACCCACTGAGCGCTTGCCCTAAACTTACAACTATCTGAGTGTCATACGCCTAACTAGGCAAGGGGGGTCTGGGCAAGGGGGGTCTTGTAGATTTTGGTTCAGGCTTTGGTGTTAAAGGGTTGTAGCTCCCATGTATGTTTCACAATAAGCTGCTTATGTATTTTAATTGCATCATAGCATTATTGTGTAAGAAGAATCAGCTTGTTTGTTCCGCTGTGTCATCAACAGGTATCTCATTCTTCCCAGGATGTCAACTCTGGTTGGGTTCTTTGGCTGGATATGGGGCTGAGATCTTAAGATAGATTTGATCCTGGGGTAGGGGCTGAGATCTTAAGACAGATTTTATCCTAGGGTGGGGGCTGGATGGTGACATACACCGAGTTCGCTGTGTAGCAGCAAGGACGATTGCGATGAACGAGAAGCTTTGCCAGCATTTTGGTGGCCCCGCGCGCGGGTTTCCATCCCCTGCCGATCTGGTCAAAGTGCCGGCAGCGAGGCTTTGCTGGGCAAACTGGGAGAAGCCCGGAAACCCACATTAAGCAGACCCTCAGGCTCAAAGCCGAAGACCCCCCCAAGACCCTACATTGCCAACACCTGACATGCTGACCTGTGGCACTTCTTGGCAAGCTGCTGTTGCTTCTGCTGCTGTTAGCAGGACGGGCCAGAACCCTAGCACCCTAAACTCGAAACCCTTGCATCCCACCCTAACACTCTAACCCCCAAACGAAGCATCTTGAGCCTTAACAACACTGCAAAACCCAACGATCCCGCAATCCTAGTGGCTAGGGCCTAGGGCAGGCTCAAGAAACTTTGTGCAGTCGGCTACCGCGCCGAGCGCATCATCAAGCTCGCCCGCTTCGCCCAAGCTGGCGGCCTGGACTCCTGGTTCCCAGAAAATCTGCCGTTTAAGGTGGGTTTTTGGGGGGGTGGGGGTTCGTTGTTGTTCTCAGGATGAGGCCCCAAACCCTGATCAACCATATAGCCTTAAATACTCCTAGACACCTAAACCTCAAAAACCCCCTGACTGGGAAGAAACAAAGGACGGACTCTCCCATGATCGCCTCGATGAGCAGGACTGGACGGGCTGACGGGTGGCTGGCAGGGGCCCTTCATCCCACTGCCCCTATCCAGCCCATATAGACTATAGATATATGGGGGTGTTTCCGAAGTTAGGGGGTACCTCATCATAATGGAATCCTACTATTTGGGGACGCTATTGAGGATCCCTATTTTCGTAAACCTCCTCTGAAGATAGGTATGGAAGTTGAAGACTAGAAACCGCGCCCCCCCATGCCCAAAGCCTCGGAAGGAGGCGGGACAGCGCTGCAAGGCAATCTACGGCCTCTTGGGATGCCCAGTGCTAGAACTTCTTTCCCTTGTTTTGTCGGGGATAGGTTCCATCACACCTATCCCTAAACCCAAAGCCTTAACGATTCAACCCTAAACCCTAAGCCCCAATGAAGCCATAAACCCTAAACCCTAAACCCTAGGTTACTGGGCAAATCTGGGCAACCTAGGCCTAGGGCCCTTTGGCGTGGCCAACGCCCTGCAGCTGCTCGGTTTCTACAAGGCCCCCACCCGCCGGCAGAGGGTTTAGGGTTCAGGGTTCAGGGTCTCAAGTTTGGGGTTCAGAGGGCTTGGAGCTTACAGAATTGGGGTGTAGGGAGGCCATTCTAAAGCCCGAAGGCCCAAAATAAAGCTTAAAGCAACCCTTATGCCTGTAACCCAAAACCCTGACCTAAAGCCACCCTTATGCCTTTAACATCCTTTAACCCAAAACCCTGACCTTAATTGCCCAAAACCCTCGGTGTTTCGCAATAAATGCCCGGACGTATCAACAAGCCCAGATTTACGAACTACGATAAGACTCGTGAAGCTATGCATTTCAATGAGTGCTTTCCTCCTCCCCCCCACCACCAAAGCGAGTGAGATGTCCCGCAACCATATCCTGACAGTGCCATGCGAGACGCTATGAAAAGCCTCGTCCACTTTGAAAGGTACAACGTTTAGTCTAGGTAAACCCTGAAACCTTGGGGGACCACATGAACCCTATAAGGGTTTCTGGTTTCATATACCGCAATAAGGGTTATAGTAGTATAGGGGTATATGATCACAATTCCAGGGTTCATTTGGTGCCCAAACATGTTCGACCTGAAACCTGAAGCCTAAACCCTGAACCCTGACATGTTGAGTCTGACAGGATATCCCGGCAGACAGCGAGACCTGTCGGCACCTGCGGCAAGCGCGCGGCCTGCGATCCTGCACCCTGCAGAATGTCTCGCTCATCGCCTCCCGGGTGTGCCTTTTTGGACATTCTTGGGTGTAGGGTTTAGGGCTTAGGGTTTGAGGCCTGTAGAGTTTAGGGTTTAGGGTTCCCCAAGCCCTAGATGCTAGAACTTCAGAACTTTTTACGTCCAGACAGAACGAGGGTTCCGACGTCCCGAGGTACCGGCCGTACGCGCCCCACCAGTTTCTGAGATACTGGACGGAGCTCTGGCGCACCTATGAGCAGCGCATGGGGTCAGAGGCGTGGGCGGCCGAGCCCTCCAAGTACCGTCTTCTGACTGCCGCGCACATGCACGTGCCTCGGCAGAAGTACAAGACGCTCAAGAAGACCAAGAAGGAAAAAAACATGCCGGCCTGCGTAGGGAGAGCTGTCTTTGATCCTCGTTGTCATGTGGTGTTGTTCTACTTCTTATAGAAAAGCACTCAGTGTTGCAGTTACAGTTCCGGCTTCCCGCGATTTCGCAGCTCGCCTCTTACTCCCTCCTACCCATTCAAGTCCCCTCCAGAAAGCGAGGCCTTGAACCACAACAAGCTGCCCAAAAACTGGCCCTGAGCCTTTTTTTGACGGGGTGCCAGGAGTTACATCGCCTCTATCCGGACTTCGTGGCGTGCTCGCCGTCCGGGGCCCCATGTTGCGCACCTGGGGTTGACAGGGCCTTTAGGGCAGTCTCGGCCTCATAAGCCCTCCTTATTTGCGTTCACTGAGGTTTTGGCTAGGTCGCGGTTCGTAAGGGCCTTGCCTCTAAAAGGGTTTCAAGTTTTTTTCGGGGGCACGCCGCAAGATGAGGCGGGGTCTGCTGCCTGCCTTGGACAACGGCGGAGAGCACGTCTACGATTCGATCGTGTTGCTGGAGCGCGGGGCTCAGGAGAAGCCCGGCACCCAAAACCCTAAAACGTAACCCTCAAGCCCTGTAATTTCCCTCGACATCCCTAAACAAGCCCCACTAAACCCTAGAAACGCCATATCACAAACCCTATAAACGCGAATGCATGCAAGGCTGCTAAGGCTTTGCCGTGTATGGTTTGGGGTCTTCAGGGGGCCTATAAGCCCTCTCGGATCAAGACCCCTAAAACGAACACATGGTTCTGACTGGGGAATAAGTAGGGTAATCATCTGGTCTTTTGCTGGTAACGGCCTCATTCTTTAGCCTCCTTCTGAATTATTGTGTGTTTTCATTTGCTGCTGAGGTACGTGCACGAAACCTTCAGCGGACCGCCTCTGCTGCCCACGTCGCCTTTCGCGCGCGCCAAGGTGGGTGCCGGGTGCATTGGCCTATTTTGGGGCTTCAGGTGGGGTTTACGAATCCCCAAAATCCTAGATTCCTGAACACGAAACCCAAAAGGCCACACCCGATGGTCACCCGATCTCAGCCCGAAGTTCACAAACCCAGCCCGGACAAGCCCTGAGCCAAAAAACCCTTTCAGGCCCTTTCATGCCATTCGAAATCCTGTTCAGGGAACTGGTTTAGAGTTTATAGAATTCTATCGAAGTTTTGTGGTTTTTGCAGGGTGTTGAAGGGTTGATATGACATTGCAGGGTGTTGAAGGGTTGATATGACATGTGGGTTTTCCGGGCTTCCAGGGCTGTGCGGGCTTGCAGGGCCTATTCGGTTCAGAGAAGCTCTGCTCCCTGTTGCCTGGAGTTTACATCTCAGAGTCCTCCATTGTACAGAAAATAAACCTTTTGTGTGGTCTAACCTCTGTTTTGGTCCGCAAGGCCTCTGCAGGTTTAGGAGGTTGAAGCAAGTAGGCAACTGCTAAGCCATCTCCCATCACTTACAACGCACCCAAAAGACTTAGTTGGTTTTTCACTTGGCGGAAGGTACGCTTGTGGAGCAAGCACGTAGACCTGCACATCGTGCCAAACTACGAGAGGCGTGGTCGTGCCACGATTTCTGGTTCCCAGCCCACGAGCCTATTGGTTCGGCGTTGCGTAGACTTTACCCCCGAAAACCTTCCCCAGAGGGTCCATTTGTAGTACTATTCCGCAATTATAGGTACCCAGGCCCAAAAACGCTGTTTAGTAGGGCGTCTGCGTACCTAATTCCTATAATAGTACTACAAGTGGACCCTCAGTGTTCAGTTCCAGAGACCAAAGGAGATGCACCTTCCCCGCAAGCTGAAGTTTATTGGGTCGAAGCTTCATCTGCCATGGCGATGCAGACCCCACTTTGAACCGACATGGGGTTCGGCACCTCCACCCCCCCGAGATCGTGGATCATTTCCAATGGCCTTCTTCGGAACGATTTTTTGTTTGTGTAATTACTCAAGGGAATATTTAAAATTAACATATTTGGTGAGGTTTTAAGGGCCAGAGTTTAGGGTACCAAGCAGGGCTCCATAGCGCAAAGGGCCCTCTTTTCGGGAAACCGTCATCGCATATTCCTTAATAGACCCCAAATCCCAAACCTAGACCCTAAACCCTCTCGCCCAATAAACCCTAAACCCCAACCCCAAGCCTCCTCCCCCCCCCCCGCCCTTCCCCCTTGCCCCCCTTGAAAGAGAGCAAGGAATCTGCTGCGTCAGGCTCCTGGCGGCCCACGACGCGGAGGCGCGGGCAATGGCCCGGGAGGAGACGCAGGGCTCAGGGTACTTAGGGTTTTAGGGTTGTTTAGGGTTTAGGGTTTAGGGGGCTCAGGGTTTAAGGAGGAAGGGACGGAAAGAGAAGAGGATGAAGAAGAGGGAAAAGGGGCAGAGAGGGGCAAGAGCAGGAAGAAGGAGAAGAGGAGGGCCCGACTAGCTCGTGCCCGAGGCCGGGGCCCCATGGTTGGTGTGATGCATGTGAAGAGAGAGAGGGAAGAGGGGAGAACAGTGAGGAGGGAAGCGACGCAAAGGGCAGATCAAGCACCGCATCAAACCTAGACGGTCCGTGCGCAGTACGAAGTTTTCCCCGCTTAATCACGTCAAGAGCTTCAAAGCAAATGCAAGTTATGGGCACACCCATGAGAGCAAAGACACATCGCAAAGAACCGTGCTTGCAGGTCCAGGGTAGTTATAGTAGGGTATGCGCATCCCAATGAGTGTTAAATTTTGCTGGGGCGACGGTTTGGAGCCGGTGTTAGGGCTCCTTGTGGATTGCGAGCCTTTGTGTGACCCGGCAGCTACATCCTCAACCCGAATCTTTACACACCTTGAACACCCATCCCGTTCAAGCCCTGTAAACCCTATAAACACTAAACCATCTAGGGCAGCTACCCGCAGCCCAGGCCGCACATAAGCCCCGAACCCGGACCCTAAACTCTGACCCCCCCCACCCACCCACCCACGCGCTACACAAGGCAAACCGCTTGAAGCGGAGTCATGAGCCTGAAAGGGTTTAGGGTTTAGGGGGAGCAGGCAAAACCCAAAGACATGGAACTCCGAATGTTCCGACCACTAAGCCCCGTCAACCCCAGCAAACCTCGAGCCCTTAGGCCTTCAACCCACACCTTCCCCTTGAACCGGCCCAGAGCAATTTGAGCAATTTGGGAGGACCTCCTGCAGTCGCTGGCACTTTTCGAGGCCAAAAGGGGGCCCTAGCCCATAAACCCGAGAAGAAAACAAGCAATCATTGAATCATACTATAAAAAAGCTCCAAACTCTAAACGGGCCCCAATTCTGGGCTGTGGGTGGGACTTCAGGGTTTCGGATGCCTAGGCTGGCCTAGGTTTCCTCGCTTCGGGGTTTCGATTCCTAGATCAAAGCCCGCTCAGGGAATTGGCATCTTGCAGCAGTGTTGGGCGCGGGAGGGGGCAGGAGGGGATCTGTGGCCCCAAGCCCCAAACCCTACCTCACACAGCTAAAGCCTTCTTTTTCAAGAGGCTCTTGCTCCATAACCCTCTATGAACCCTCTATGGATTCTTAGGTAACCTGGAGCAACGTCGGCCTGAGGTTCTGAAGGTGCAGACCTTGAACCCGAAGCCCTCTGGACCCCTAAAACCCCCTATTGATTCGGGCACTGAGTTGTGCGTTGTCTTTCTTGGGTTCCCTTTTTGAACGGCTCAGGGTACAACAGCTTAGGGGTTGGGGTGTTTAGGGTTTCCAGGGGTAGTGGCATAGTCCCTTGATATGGCCCTTACCCTCTTTGAAAGGGTTCTGATGTATGGGCCCCTGCGTTTTACAGGGTATAGAAGGGGTAGAGAAGGGGTCCCCATTTTAAGGCTCATAGTAAGGGACCATGTAACTAACCAAAGAGGGTTAACCGGGTTGACATACTCCTACATGGCGCTGCGCAGGCCGCAATGGCGCCTTTGGCTAAAGGTGCACCCCTCAGGGCCTCAGGGAAGGCTTTTAGGACCCAAGCCCTGAACCCTAAGCCTAAACCCTGTAGTCCTTAAGCCTTCAACTCTATAAATCCCAAACCCTACAATCACTACACCCTACACCCTACCTACGATCCCTGAAGCCTTCACGAGTCCTCCCTGGTTTGGGGGGCCTTCGACTTCAAAGCAGGCCAGAGGCCTGCCTTGAAGACGCTCCTATCCCGAAAACCCTGTTCCTAAATCCCTACCCAACCCCCCAACCCTACGACCCTACAACCCTAACGCCCACACCTTGAGGCCCCTTCTTCCTGGGAGATGACTTCTCCATGGCAGATGTCGCCCGGGGCCCCACAGAGCTGTTCGGCTTGAGGGTTCTGATTCCCGGGATTCAGGCTCAAGAATTGCACAATACAAGTAGAAAGTGGTCATGGTGATCATGACACAAGGCGGCGGGAACAAGTGCAAGCGGAATCAGGGCAGTTCTGGACATGCATCCACGGCCTGCAACCTTTGCACCCTGAACACGCAGTTCAAAGCCCTGAACCCTGAAGCCCAAGGCACCCTAAACCCCAAACCCTAAACCCCATGCGCGGCTTGCCATGCTGCCACCCAGGTACTGGCTCCCTGGTGGCAGCGAATGTGCTCCGTCCTTCGAGCGTATCGCTACCCTGGCATGGCTTTTAGAGCTTCCAAAATCTACAGTTTGCTTAAGAACCCTCCAAAAAATGAAAGATGATAGTCCCTTGATTGCCCTTATTAGGAAGAATGTTTTGATTTTTTGAGGGGTCTTAAGCAAATAGTAGAAATCGGTTTGAGAAAGTTAGGGTTGAGGGTGTAGTCCTTCCCAGATCCCCTTGCTACATCCTCATCCTCGTGCTTGTAGGGCTTCTGGCCCCAGAACCTAAACCCTACATACTCTCAATCAAATCCGAACCTTTTTTCGGCTCCAGTCCTGTCCCAGAAACCTACGCCCGAATCGTGCCCGCGGTCCTTCGCAACCTTTCCTGCTATGGCCATGCCTATGAAGACCACCATGAAGGCCATGAAAGCCATGAAGGCCATGAAGGGGACCGCCATGAAAGCCAAGGTCATGAAGGCCTGGGAATGTGACATAGGCAGACGAACATTGGAGTACATAACGGTAATATAGATTGTACAAAGAAAGCATGTTCTTTACGGTTCGGTGAACGACAAGGGTCCGTAATCTAGCTCAACCCGTGTATTCGCTTCTCTGAGCTCATGATCCATGTACGGCTGACGAGATGCCCGTAGCGTCGCAATGTGCTTTGCAAGCCTGGTCACTCCTGCAAGACTGCATCAGGCCATGAAGAAGAAGGCTATTTCCAAGATCGCCCGTGGCAAGCTGGCAAAGACTGTGGTGTTCAAGGGAAGCAAGGCCATGCAGAATTAGCTGCAAACACTATCAGGGTAAGCAACGGCAGGTCCCTACAAGCAGGTAGGTGAGTAATGCGTGAGCTCTTTTCGGCGCAGGGGCATGGGCCATTGGTACATGCTTTTCATGATGGCAAGTCCCTGAGCCAGCATCTATATACCTTGAACAGGACAAGACTTCCACTGGCCTCCAGAAGAGTGATCTGATGAAGAACAAGAACGGAAAGGTTGTGAGCAAGAAGCAGCATGCCAAAGGCAAGGCGCTCTTCAAGCAGTTTGCGCAGCGTTGGCTCGATGCCTGCATGATGGCTAGGAAAGAGTTGGGCCTAAAGGGCTTCTGTTCAGTGGGTGGCAAGACCACTCAGGGCAAGGCGCTCTACGCAAAGGCCAAAGCGATTTACGCTGCGGCTTGAGCGATTGGGCGGGGAGAACACCTCTGCTTTCGTGGTAGTTCATGGAGCAGATGTTCTTTGTGCTTGCGGCAGAGCGCTGTAACGCTAGATATGTACAGCTGGGGATTCTGTCGCGATTGGAACCGCTGAGCTTTGTTCAGAGCTCGACGCGCGACCAAGCTGAAAGCAAAACTGTTGTAAGGATTACCTTGCTCCTGAACCCAAGGTGTCTTGCAACATCTGGGAGTGCTCCTTCATTGCGCGGAGCCCAACACTACAAGCCCTCAAGCCTTGGCACTGCTTTTCTCGTAGCCTATCATATTGCCACGAAACCCCTCATAGGGTTCTTAGGTAGAGTACAAAACAACGTAGGTTCTTGGGGTTCCTAGAAGGTGACCCAAACCCTCAGCCCCGCGCCAGGCAAGTTCGACCCTTCCGCGTTTTCCAGGCTTCAAGTTTGGCCAGGGGCCCTGGGTTTAGGGTTTAGGGTTTTTCGTTTTGATTCTTGTCGGTTTTGTACGGGTTCAGGGGAGTTAGGGTTTAGAAGGTTCTACAAGGTTCATAGAGGCTTGAGGGGTTGAGCCCTAAACCCCCAACGTTGCAAGACTTTCTTGGTACGGTCTGTGGTCCATGGCTCAGGGCTCGTGATTTACAGTAGCAGGGGAGGGGGAGGGGGGGAGGGAGGGGAGAGTTGTGTAGGGTGAGTTCGGTTTTTCGGCTGTTTTTGGTGGGGGTTTCCTGAACCCCTGTTGCTACCTGGGGGTCTACGCTTCAACCACCAACTCCGTATCTCAAAACCCAAAATGCCCCAGAACTCTGGCACCTGGAACCTTCAACCCTAAACGCCATAAACCCCAAAGGCTCCTGGAAGTCGACTCAGGTTCGAAGCCGTGGAGGGGCGACCCTGCTTTGCGCGGACTGCCCTGGATCCCGAGAAGCTGATCGAGGAAAGTCTTGTAGGTTTGAGGCCTTGGGGGGTCGTAGCCCTATACGAAAAGCTAAACTTAACCCTAAACCCATAAGGTTGAGGGTTTAGGGCTGCTTGCAGGTTTGTGACGCAGACCTTTGAAAGTAGGACCCGGGCCTCAGCCTCCAAAGACCCAGAAAACCCCGAAATTCGACTCGAACGAACCCCTTTAAAAAACCCTTATAGCCACCAAAGCCCCGAAACCCCGAGCATCGCTTTGAAGGAGTTTTCCTTCTGCGCCGACCCGGATGTGGAAGAAGGGGTGCGCTTCCGCCGAGGAGGGCCAAAGTTCGGCAGGACCCTGGGGAGTTGGCGGATTTGGGGAGGGTTGAGGGTTAGGGCTAAGGGGTTTTCAGGATTGAGGGTTTAGGGTTTGTAGGGTTGAGGGTTAAGGGGGTAGAGGGTTTTCGGGTATTTAGGGTTCTGGGAGGTTAGAGGGTTTTGGAGTATTTGGGGTTTAGGGTTTATGCGGGCTTGTAGGGCTCAGAAGCCCTTGTAAGCCCTAAACGTTGCGAGGCTTTGATGATCTAAGGTCGGAACCATGGGACCTTAGTGTGGTCCCTTCCCCTTGTTTATAGGGATCCGAAGTATCGGCCCGTGTTATATGTAGTGTGCATTTGGTTTAGATAACATGGAGGCAACAATCAAGGGCCCATACTTCGGATGCCGTAATTTGCCATCCCACGTAGGGCCCATGCGCCTTGGGCGCTTCAATACCTCCAACCCAAAGCTCGAAACCCTTAACTCCTGAACCTGAAACCCTATACCTAAACCCTGAACCCTTGAAACCTTGAACCCTTGAATCCTTGAACCCATGAACCCATGAACCCTAAATCCTATAGATAAACCTACACCCCCAACGCCCCTGCAGTGCTTTTGGGCTCAAAAACTCTCTTACCGTAAACCTCGAACCGTCTTCTCCAAAGCCCTTGTTTTAAACCCCTGCCCTAAAGGAGCCGCGGCCTGATTGAATCAGGCCTCTGCCTGGGGAGGGCTTAGAAGCTTGGGCTTTAGGCTGGGCTCTGGTTTCCGGGGGGGGGGAATGATGAGGGTTTCCCTAAACCCTAAACCCTGAAGTTTAGGGATTTAGGGCTGTAACAATGTGTAAGTTTGCAGTGGCGGGTTCTTAATCTTCAGGTTAGGTTGAGGGCTTGGAGATTTGGCAAGGGCATCCAGGTTGTCGTTGGGAGCAGATCCGATAGGGTTCATTCAGGGTTTAAGGTTTAGGGTTTAGGCTTTAGGGTGGGGGCGCGTTACTTGCTTGCAGTGCACTCTAAACAGCATGGACTCATGGGCCACTCTGCTTTAGAGGATGTACCTCAGTCCGTTTAGCCTTATTCCATTGTCGCTACTACTCCCCCTCCAGAGCCTCACACCTGGCATAATCATAGCCAAGAACACTGTGACTTAGGATGCTGCTTGGCTCAAATAGCAACAGTCTTTAAGATAGACCGTGCTACGCAGGCGCTACACTTGCAAGTACCTACTGTGGGAACTGTTGACTGTTGATATATCCCGCACCGGAACCCGAACGCCTGAACCATAGACGTAAAATGCCTCAGGAGCCTCGAGCCCTAAACCCCAGCTTAGGCTTACTTCAAAATCCTACAAGCCAGAACGAAAACTGAGCCATCCCCATCATTCCTTCACTGCAGGTTCGAGAGGGCAACGCCACTCCCTAGGGACTATGTCCCAGACCTCGAGTCAGCTGTAGTTCCGACAGCCCAACGTTTCAGAGTCTTGATTATGGTTTAGGGCCAAGTTTAGGGTTGAGAGCTCAAGGTTGCCGGCCTTAAGGTTGCTGATACTCTGCATTCAACGGGAACAGGCCTTAGCCGGGCCTTACCCTTCGCAACAACACTGGTCACACTAACCGTAGTTGATCGCAGCTGCTCGCCACTCAGCGGAGATCTGTTGCGAGAAAATGACTCCGACCCGGGCATCCGCCAACTTGGAGGGGGTGGTGGCCTTGCGGGCTCTGCTTCTTTTCTCAAAGTACCTTAAATTTCCCTAAGCCGAAGCCTCCCCGAGCCCTGGGAACTTCTGCCGTTAGCAGTCTCCTCCCCAAACCCGGTAACCCTAAAATGCCCCAAAACCTTAAACCCCAAAACCGTACAACCCTAAAGAATTTAAACCCTTCAACCCGAGAAGCCCTAAACACCTGGAGCCTGCTCTGGCTCGGCAGTCATCGGTTTCCAATGGGGGGCTGCCTGCTCTTCCCATGGTGGCAGCCAAGATCTCACTCTGACCCAGATGGGACCGAAGAAGTGCCACGACTTCCGCTTTTAGGGTTTCGGTTTTAGGGTTTCAGGTTTAGGGTTTCGGTTTTAGGGTTTAGTGTTAGGGTTTGGGGATTTTGCATGAAGGACGTCATGGTTTTGGCGTTTGAGTGCGGCAAGGTATGTGACGTTGAAAGCCTGTCTACCTTTAGACAACACCTAAGCTTTTAACACTGTAAAAATCCTACAAGGGGTTGTTGTATTTGTATAACCTGAAGAAATGTAGGTTCGATCCTCACTTCCGAGGTCATCCGTGAATCTGGCAAGTCGAGTCAAACACATCTGGTTCTCTAAGACTTTGGGAATCCGGGAAGTTAAGGTGAGCAAATCTGGGAGTCGGGAAAACAAGGTGAGCAAAAGCTGGGAATCTGGGAAGTTGAGCTGAGCAAATCTGGGTACTATTGCCACTAACATAGTCGGAGGTCACAGGCCCTTGCTATCTTAATCCAATGAATACGGCTAACCTCTGATGGCAAAAGAACATGGCTTCCACTGCACACTTCCACTTTGTTCAGCCCTGTGCTTTGTACTGATCCTCCTTCTCAGAGGCTTACACCTTAAACTTGGGTAGTTAAGAGCATGGTCCTTTCAGCTCGGTCTGCGTACTAAATGTGCAAATCTCACAGAGCCAATTGAAGAGCCTTGAGCATGTCGGGTTCCCAGGTACATGCGGCTGATGGCAGGCTTCAAGGGTCAGGAGAACGCCCCTGAACGCTGCCTGAGCTTGCTGCGCTCCATGCAAGAAAACTGCATTGTTCCTCGGGGACCAAATGAACCCTAAATTGGCATCATCGACCCTATATACACTAGAATCGCTCTTACGGTAATATGAGCCATAAACCTTTTTGGGGGGGTCGTTTGGTGCCCAAGGTGGTGGATAAGCTGCACTACACGGCAGCTTTGTCCTCCTGCACCATGGCGCTGTCCTGGCCTTATGCTTTGGCAGTTCTGAGGATGTTGCGAGATGCCCTACTCCAAGCAGACGTGGTACTGTATCTCGGGCCCTTATTCCCTCTTTTAGGGCTTAGGTTCCCTCGGAAGCCGTTTGAAGCCCATAAGGGCACCCTTTTTATACCTCGGGCTACTCTTGGGTCTAGGTATAGCAGTGCCATCAGCGTGCTGGGTGGCGGTGCGAAGTGGCCGCATGCTGTGCAGTTGTTCTGGAGTTTGGGAGGCATGCGGATGGCCAGTGACATCACTGCTGTCACAGCCGCCATGCGCGCCTATGCCACGGGCAGTAGGTGGCAGGCCTGCGCCTGGCTTTTGGCCCACGCGAGCGGCGCAGACCGCGTCGCTTGCACCACGGCTATCAGCTCGTGCGAGAAGGCTCAGCGTTGGGAGGCAGCCCTTGCCTTCTTCGCAGCCGCAGGGGTGCGCAGCGTGCGCAAGGACGCGGCCATGTACAATGCCACCATCGCCTCCATCGCTTCCTCCTCCCAAGCCGGCTTGGGTTGGCTCGGGGTCCTGAGCCTGCTGCACGATATGGCACTGGAGAACATCAAGAAATCCACCACCACCTTGAATTCGGCGCTCACGGCGATGGAGAGGGCGGCATGCTGGGAGTGGGCACTCTCCTTGTTCAGGGACTTGCCGCGAGCCTCCCTTGCCCCGGATGTGATCTCTTACAATGCCACAATGACGTCCTTTGAGAAGGAGAGCCGCTGGGACCGGGTCCTTTCCCTCTTAAAAGAAGCCAGGACCCTCCGACTGGCGGATGGCATCAGCGACTCAGTCGTCAAGATTCTGTTTAGACGACGTAGGGCACAGCAGTAGGCGCTTCTGGTCAAAGCTTCTAGCTGTCTAGCTCCCTTCGGACAAGCAAGGCTACAACTGCAGCATCGCAGCCTGCCAGAAAGCAGAGATGTGGCTCCAAGCCCTGGCGCTCTTACAGGAGACGATGGGGCCTGGCAGCAGGGCATGCCTTACAGTGTTCCCTAAACCCCACACCCTCAACTCCCTAAACTCTCCCTAGTCTCCCTGAACCAAGACTCCCTAAATCCCTAAACCCTAATCCCTAAGCCCTAAACCCTGGAAGGACATGAGCGGCCAGAAGGGTGGGCCGGATGCGATCGCCTACAACAGCGCCATCCTCGCCTCTGCGGGCGCCTCGCGGTGCCTTGTGGACTCAATTAGTTGGGTAGTTCTCTAAATTAGGGTCTCTGTTCGGGTCCTTGTTTCAAGGGTGCCGTACTCTATAGGGGACCCAAGAAGGCAGCCTAATTTCAGAAAACTACCCAGTTGCTTATATAAGATGCGCAAAAGCACAGTCTTCTGCGCCAAACCCCAACCCAATGAACCCTAAACCCTAAACCCCAGTCAAGGTGGGAGGCTATGCTCGCCTTGCTGCACCAGTGCCTGGCGAACCGGGTGGAGGCCGACATGCAGAGCTGGGCGGCACCTTGAGTTAAACCTCAACAACCCTCAACCCTGAACCTTATCTAGACCGAGCACATCATGAAAACAATGTCCAGCGGACTTCTGGGCTCCTCGGGCTGATCTTGATAGACTTCCAGGTTCTATGGGCGCCCACAATCCCTATGTACGTTTAGAGTTTTGGGTTTAGGTTTTAAAAATGTTTAGGGTTCAAAAGGGCTTTAGGAAAACCACCCCAGACAAGGCATGCCTGTCCGAGTGCGAGATCTGGTCGGCCCGGCGTGGGGAGGCTTTGCTGCTCAAGCAGCTGGTGAGCCTTAGAGGCGTTCAGCAGGGCAGCTTTCAAGTTGAATTTTGGAGACGGCCACACTTAAGTACCCCTGAACCCTTATAAAGTTCCCTTCACTAGGACTCCCCACAAGCCAAGCCTGGCCCAAACACCCAGATCCCCAAATTCCCCAAAATCCCTAAATCCTAACGCTTGTTTCAAGGGCCGCAAGCAATCCTCAAAGACCTTACAGGCAGCCGATTCAGCAACTACCCCTAAACCCTAAACCGTAAACCGTAAACCCTAAACAAATTCGGCTCTCAGGAGCCATCTTGGCCGCGGCTCTTTCCAGGTCCAGCCCTTGGAGTGCCCTAGAGACGCCTGGGTGCGTGGAACGTAATTCTCTGGTGAACTCGCACCCAGAGTATGCGCGGATTCACCGTTTTTAAGGTTCAGGGAGCCAAACTATGCTTTGTGGGGTGCCGAAAGCTATGAGGAGTATCCGTTTCAGCTTCTAACTTGTAGACCTCCTTCTTTCGAAAATATGATTCAGGATCTCATCCAGCGTTCAGAGGTTTTTGGCTCATGCTTGCTCAAGGTGACGATGTAGGTAGTTCAGGAAGTAGTTTTAGGTTTTATGTTCTGCCAAGACAGAAGCTGGAGGGAGCGAAAAAGCAGCGTCCGTGCCGTGGGGCAGTGGGGGGCGGTAGTGGTGGAGGTTCCTATTGAAACTGAATTGTCCATGTGCAACTTGGTAAGCCCTGGACCCTAAACGCTACAAGCCCTAAAATTCATCAGGACCCTAAACCCTAAGGGCCCAACCCTGAACCCCAAACCCTGTAAACCCTAAATCTGTGAACCACAGAGGCTCCAAACGGCCCCAAACCCTAAACTTACCTTGAATACGACATTGCCCTAAGTCCTATATCCGAAGCCCGAAACCCTCAACCCTAAACCCCATACCAGCCCCGACCTGCGTTCAAACTTGCCGCGCTCTCGGCTCGGGAAGATGACGAGCTCCCTCTCGTCTGCGGACACCGGGGCTCGACCAATGTCGCCCACTCAGCAGGGCCCCAATGCCCAAACCCCAAACCCCTGAACCCTAATCCCTAAGCCCCAAACCCTACATGTTTGGCGTCTAAGGCTCTAGTGCGTGTAGCGTTGTGGGTGTATATGGGGCTTAGGGTTTTCTCTTATGGACTTCTGAACTCCTAACTGAATATGAGGCTTTGTAGTGTACTCGGGACCTTCCCATATATTGGTAGTATCGTATATGGTTGGAGTCTTGCTGGGCCGAGGCTGCGGCTGCCGCGGATCTTCTTGCCGGCAGGCATACAGCAGACCGCGGGGTTGTTCTACATGACTACCATTTGCTTGAGAGCCACCCAAACTTTGTTCTCCCTTGTTAGGGCAGTACAGGGATTGTTCTTCCTTCTTTTTTTTTGGGGGGGGGGTTAAGTAAATGTAAGAGTAGGGGTGTTTTGTGCGTGCGCGTGTGCCGAAACTATTAGTCAGGGGGTTTCGGCGAAGGGAGATCCCAACACAGAGCAGGCCCCCCACGTCCTCGGTGAGACCTGCGCTTTGGAACTGAAGCTCCTCCGTTGCGAGGTCTTCTGCTGTGCCTTCTCTGGGGCCTGCAGGCAGGTCACCCAGATTAATGTAGGGGTCGGAATTTACGAATAGTATTAGCCCCATTAGCCCCCCAAAACCCTATTCAAATTCTAGCTGTTAAGACCCCTTTGGTAGGTAAGTTTAGCCAACGTTTAGCCAAACGAGGGCTTTATTCTCCAATGACGACTCGGTCCCAACATTTCTGTTGCTCGTCTGCCTGATCCGATCTGCATTTAATCACAAGAATATGTCCCGGCGGCCTTTTCATTTCCAGTTCCTACATGCGCTATGTAAGCTCTGGCAGAAGCCCTATAAATCCCCACAAACGCTACAGTGCTGTTGGCCCTGCTAGCCCGGCATATTTGCCCGACAGTCCCTTTCAGCCCAAACGATGGCGACGAGGTCGGTGTCTCCACCTTTCTGCATCTGGCCACTGTCTTGGCGAGTTTGTGGTGGGGAGTGGGGACAGGGGGGCGGGGGGGGGTGGGGGAATGGGGGGGTGAGGGGGATGGGGGAGTGTCAGGCGAAGTAGGCATCCCACATAGTTCGGTTTTTTGCAGGAACCGACTTAGATTCGTATCCTCTGTCGTGCGGTTAAGAGGCTGGTTGGAGGGGTCTCAGATTGATTGGGAGTGGGGCACGGGGGTGGGGGGAAGGGCGGTTTGAGTTTGCGGGCGCGTGGTTCTGGGGGCTTCAGGGGGTTTAGAGTGTAGAGTTGCAGCGCTTAGGGTTTTCAGGGCTTGCAGGGTTCATTCGTAGATTTAGTAGGGTTTATGGGGTTTTGGGTTTGTAGGGTTTTCACACCCGAGGCTCCCAGCCAATCGCTCAGCAGCAGACCAGATCTGCCCGGCGCTCGGCACATGCACGGAGGATTGAGGGTTGAAGGTTACCAGGGTTCAGGTTTACAGGGTTTAGAGTTGGGGGTAAGGGGATTTGCTCCAAAGCCTACATGAAAAAACCATTTAAATTTAAGTTGGCGTAACAGGGCTGTAAGAGCTCTAAGGCTGAGCGGTTTGGATCTTGTGATTCGCGGGCCCAGGGCACCAGCGCGCACGCGCTCGCAGACGAGCTCGACAGACAAGAGCCAAGGCGGGCTAGCAGGGTTTCAGGGCTGAGGGTTATGGGGTTTATAGAATTTAGGGTTGAGAGGGTTGATAAGGTTTAGAGCTCAGGATTTATACAGTTTATAGTGTTAGGCTTTTGGGTTCGGGTAATTGAGAGGGTTGACAGGGTGCATTGCGTTTGCAGGATCTACAGGGTTTATAGGCCTTTGCCAAACCAAACCCCTCAAACGGGCAGAGCAGCCCGAGAACCCTAAGCCCCTTGACGCCAAGATTCCAGGGTTTAGGGTGTTCTCCGAGACGTGGCCGCAACCCCAAGCCCCACAGGCTCGATGTGCAGAACGAATGCACAGTTCCGAGTGCATTCTTCGCAGCAAATGCCGCTAAACCCTTACCCCCAAACCTTTAACCCTAAAATGTGGTCGGACGCCGCGTGCCATCAACCCCGAAGCCTTGAAACCTGTAGGCCTCGCCGAGAACTCTCCTACCGGCCGGAAAGGTTCATGTGTCATGGGACTCTACCTTGGACCCCGAAGGTTGTGCCCTTGGGTTTGGGGGCCGTTTCAAACGGTTTCTTCAAGGAATATAAGGAAACCTCATAGGGGCAAAATCTTGCAATTCAAAGCACCTGTCCCCAAAAATCTAAAAGTGCAGTTCCGAACAGCTAGACATGGGCCAGGTAGCGGTCTGCTTCTGGCACTCTTGGGCGTAGCGGCCTTTGCGTGCCGCAGGCGCCTTGAAAAAGCTGTTTCGGGCTGTTATTGTCATTGTCTAAGGGAGAAATGGGCGGGGGGGGATTCTGGGTTTTTTGGAAGAAGGATTGTCGGGATTGTCGGACTTCGGGGTATGCTAGGAAACAGCTGAGGGCTCCCACTCTCGGTTTCAGCCGTTACCTTGCTGTTTCTGTCCTTACGACTGCCGCCACCGCCAAGCTAGCGCACGTAAAATTCGGATTTTGCGCAGGTATGTTGGAGTAATGAAGAGCCAGAAGCTGCAGTCGCACAAGTCCTAAACACACTCTAAACCCTCAAAACTTTGGATTTTAGGCCTGCTATGCTGCTGCAGCAGAGGATCTGGCGAACTCGGGCCACTGACCATTGCACCCTACAACCCGAAACCCTAAATCCCCCAAAAAGCCCAAAACCCTAAAAGCGCCAAACCCCACCCGGACACTGCAAAAGGCCCGGGCCGGCCACCTTTGCTGGCCACAGCCGCGGCCATGTGGCCGCAAGCAATCTCCTGGTGGCGCAGCCCGGAGATTCAGGCAATGGGTTTTGGGGTTTTAGCGGCTTTAGGGGTTTAGGGATGGGGGGTTTTAGGCGTTTCAGGGGTTTGAGGGGTTTTAGGGGGTTTAAGGTTTTTTTGGGGTTTTTAGGGGCTTGGATTTTTGGGGTGTACGTAGGGCTCCCTATTTAGCCCCCTAAACATTGTATAATAATGTACCTGTTCTGGGGTTTTGGGGTTTTGGGCTATCTTTTTGCAGATCTTGGGGTTCCAGATGGGGTTTAGGGGTTTGCGGTTTTTGGGTGAAAGCCCGAAACTCCTCATTCCTAAACCCCTCCACCGTCTTTTAGGTTTTGCGGGGATGTTTGGGGGAGTCTTCTGTTTCATTGTAGAAATCGGGTCCGCGCTCTCTTGGGGATTCGTCAACTGTGGGTTGCAGCTTAAACCGGGCTGTTGGGGTTCAAGCATGTTTTGCTGGTAAAAGCATGTTATCTAGGAATGGACGGCCCAAAAACGCTAAACCGCTTTAAGGTTTCCTGGGCGGGGGTTGTCCCCTGCTTCCTGCACCCTCGTGCAACAAGTCCATGACGAGATGTGGCCAGCTTGGGGCTCCTCTCGACCCCCGCCAACCCTAAACTTTAAACCCAAAATCCGCTAACACCCTAAAACCCTAAACCCCTAAACCCCAACCCTTGGACCCCACAAAGTATGTAAAGCAAATAGCCCAAAACCTATGACAGGGTGGGGGTGTAGGTACACCCTACCCTAACTGCAGAGTACGGTTTGTGACCCCTAAGCCTATTGCAAGCGTTGTGGGGGCTTGAGGGAGCGTTTAGGGTTGAAGGTTTTAGGGCTGAAGTATTCAGGCTTTGACATTGCTAGTTTAGGCTTACACTTTTCCCTTTTTCAGGGTTCTGGGCTCCTTTATAGCTCAAAACAGTATCCAACACCAATAAGGGTAATTACCCTGATTGTACGGTTGCTGTGGATATTGCCCTAAGCTCTCAACTTGGCGATATGGCTTTCTAACTATGGTAACTGCATGAGTTTGCGTTCCTTAACGGCTGCCCAAGCAGAGTGAGCCTTGCCAGTTGACATCGAGTCGATCATCGGCATGGGGCAAGTGCCTCGCAGGCGCCGGTGAACCTTGAACCTTACAGCCGAATTCGCCCCCCCGACCCCCCCTCCCCCCGAGTTGCAGTTTAGGGTTTGGGTTTTTGTTCAGGGTTTTGGTTTCCTGAAGACCCAAAGCTCACGACGGAAGCTCGGAGAAGAAAGGGTTCAGAGAACGTCTGTGCCCTTCTTAACTGTGCCGTGCTTGAGCCCAGTAAAAGGCTTGTGGCAAGTTCGTACGCTGCTGCTTGTCGTAGTTGAGAGTTTTAGGCTTGTTTTTGTTTCTATAGCTTGGCGGCCTCCTTAATAGCAGCAAGCGCTGCTGTTGTCTCATATTGCGTTGTTTTGCTTTTGACTATCTGAGGTACTGGGGCTGTAGCGCTTGGAGGAC